TGGGGGGTAGGCAGGGGATTCGTCAACAGATGCCTCGAATCCCCCACACTTGAGGTACCAATTAGGTACCCTGTGCACCCAAGCCATACGCTGTTTTGGTTGGTTCTGATGTTTGGGAAAAGTAAGATAAGCAGGCGCTGTTTCATGGTGAACCTTGAGATGTAAAGTCACAGCTGCTCAGGAGGGTCTTTTTGCCAGCTCTTGTGGACCATTGATCGACCCCCTCGTGGTGAAGGATTCCTTTAGGGGGGTCGGCCCTTTTCTCTGCAGCTGCTTGGCCCGGAGGGAAACAACACATAGCGTGTCGACATAGGGACCTTGGAATCCAAGAAGGGATGTCGGCGGTCCTGTGGGTGTTCCCTGAAACCAAGTTGAAAAGGGTATCCTTTAAAACTCGTAATTAGATATACACACACACAACATGTTAATATGTGTATTGTTGTGTCATGATTTAGTCAACCAAAATATAACGGATCATATTGGAAGAGATCCGACAGAAGAACCTCCCCAAACGGACAGTTCTTCGCAATAGGGAAAACGCACGTATGCCAGGCTGGAGCCTCCTGTCACACCTCTGCTCTATGGAAATATTCGCCTTTTTGCAGCCCCGCAACAGGAACAAGACACCTGTCCCAAAACATCCCAGTGGATCCCCGCTTCTGTGGATGGACGAAATCCTGCACCACCCAAGAAACCCTAGAATGATGATTCCCCTGTAAATGCCAACAGGCAATGGTTTCAACCATGGTCTGACAGTGGTGCGAAATGGATTTCGTCCATCCACCGTATCACAGTGTAACAAGCCCTGGTCCATTTGGCTTTTGAAGGCCTTGGCCACCTGCTACACAGAAGGGAATCTATGGCAAGAACAGTAACTAGGTCCTCCAGTAGTGTGAGGCTAGAATAAGGCTACCAACTTTTTTCTCTCTATCTTAGTAGGGGAACCCTCCCCCAAAAATGGGTCAAAGGGCACTACTGGGGGACCCAGGTAAATAAAGAAATGTAGCTACCAGTCCTCATGAATCTCCGCGAACCTGCCCCTTTTTGGGTGGAGTCCGACTCGGGAACGTAACAAACCGCGCCGCCATCATTTTACCACTCCCAGAGGCTCCTGGGGCTTTCAATGGAAGACCCGACTCCGCTTCGGTGTTCTCAAAACCTGGCTATTTGAGGGGCCAAAAATCATCGGGAGCCTCTGCGCTATCAAAGTCATTTCAGTGTTAAAGGGAAAACAACCACCCGTCCCACTTCAACGACCGGCGCGGACAGGTTTTTTTTGCCGCCCCACCTCGATCTGGCCGCTGTAGACCTCAGCTTGCCAAGGTGTTTAGGGAATGAGTACCTTGTATACAAGAGCCTAAATTTCTCACTGGCTGAGTGGATGGCCCCAAAAAAGGTAACCAAACTTTATGTCTACCACTAAAATGGTCTTCCCAAAAAGTTTAAAGTTCATGAACTCAGGAAGTGAGAAATATATATTGTGCGGGGTACGTGCTTGACACTCAAATTTATCCTTGACCTTTATGGGGTAAACCATGAGTAACTATTTGGCACCCGAAATTGCAGTAGTCAAAAGGGTCCACGTTTGCGACTGGGCTGCAGCAGCGCGGTTGCTGGGATGTTGTTTTGGCGCGAGCGCACACAAAGATGATGAAAGATGTGATGTGCGGGTCATCTACATAAGGGCCCAAATCAACAGAATTGCTTCAGTTGCCAGGAATGCAACCATTTCCCTTTGACCCCCATGAGAAAATCAGAAACACACATCGATGTCGCCGTTCAGCGGCCTGGATAATTTGGTCACACATCCATACCCGAGATCCAACACGCTTAACGGGATGACAAAAAGCACGGGATGGTCCGGTCCGACTGGGGGTCTGGGGGGGGGGAATAGACTTCACCCGTGTGCCTATTCTCTCCAGGCATCATACAGAACAGGTCCATGAGTCAAAAGACCCTCAAACCAAGCCCCCGTTTTAGATCCTCCTCGAATCGTGAAGGCCAAAATAAGCCCTCACCGAAGGAAAGCACCATGTGGCAGGATCAGGTGGACTGATTTTGAACCCTAGGTCCTCCAGTAGAGAGGTTAAAACAAGGGCACCCTTTTTCCTGTAGTCTATATTAGTAGGGGAACCCTCCCCACAAAAAGAATCGGTGAGAAAGGGCACTGGGGGACCCAGTCCCTTCAGGCCTCGAATCAATCGAAATGGAGCGTTTGGATGCGTGCTAGATCTGCAAGAGGGGGTCTGATTGAATTGGTCTTTGAATACATCACATGCCCTGTGGCTTTCCCGTGGCGTCTCGGTTTGTTTTTCGATATGGGCCACTTTTCAGGCGCCCAGTTGGCTCTGACTTCAACGTCACTTGTCTGACGCTTCAAGGCCTGCGGAGCTCAACTTACGGAAGTTGAGCTCGAGATTTGGAGAACCCCGGCCGCGCCTTTCCTGTCGGCTTTTTGAGCTTCACGGTTCTTGGCATGGGCTTTGGTTCTTCATTTGGTTGGCTCTGTTCATTTCTAGGGGGCTGCACCAAACAAAGTTTTTGCTACCATACCAAGAGTTGTAAAGTAAAGCATCCGAATTCGGAACGTTCCAAGCCCCGAACGAGAAGGTTGATGACCTGTATGGACAAGCCAAGGGTTTCCAACAAATCGGGCTCGTTTTTTGGGCGACTCGGTCAAACAAAGGCTGTCCATGTATGAACCCATGGCAATGTTGGACCCTTTCAGGGCAGATTTTAAAACTAACGGACAATTCACTCCATAAACTAGGGTTTCACATACATGGGCACATATGAAGGGACAATCACAAGGCCTCTTGCATGGGATGGCCACTGGTTGGTTTCAAAACCACAAAGCCATATTTCAACACGAGAAAAGTTACCCATGGTCAAAACTGGGGGCCGAACGAAATATTGATCAACCCCCATCTCCATTCACCATACTTGATTGATCAAAGCCATCCCAAATTGTTACCCCCCTTATACGTCCCCCATATTTGACTCAAAGTTATCCCTATATGGGTATGGGTCAGAATTCGACCACCTTCCATTTTAAAGGACAACCACAGCCACATGGCCATGGGTCAAAATCCGTAGTACCCCCAGTGAACATCCCAATCCCCACTAAAACAGGTTCTAAAATGGGTGGTGCACCGAATTACCCCAAAATGGGATCCAAAACGGTTTTGACCACCACATCCCAATTTCTTTGTGTCATCCGCCGACTCAAATTGAAACCCCTGGGGCCCTCCGGCATAAAAGAGCTCCGGCGGGCGCTCGGTGCGGACCTTCTGTGGGCCCTCCTTCAGCGCGTCCTGGCCGGGAGTTCTCTCGAAACGGGAAATCCAAACGCTTGGTTGACGTTGATTGGAAGGGGAGCAACAATTCTCAAATTTTAGCAGGTAAGTGGTTGGATTTCCAAAAATTGAAAAAACATAGCAGGTAAGTGGTTGGATTGGTTGACGTTGGGTCTTCACGGTGCGTATGGATGTCTCACGGCTCAACCTTCGGGGCGATGGACAGTTTAGCAGAGGACTTGGTTGACGTTGGGTTTGGGGAGCAAAAGTTGAAACATGTTGGCAGGTAAGTGGTTGGATTTCAACCACTAAACCACAATAAGCAAAAATGTAAATGTTTCAACCAACGACAACCATGCAAGGTCGGTGATCTTTTTCTGGGCTGTCCAATTTCCGATCCCCCGCTAAAAGTGACAAACTTTTAGTGGGTCACATGGAAATCCAACCACTAAACACTAAAAGGCTAAGAAGCTAAGGAACCGGATGGCTGGGAACCACCAAGTTTTGTGACTTAAAGCTGCTCTGAAGATCTGATCGGCGCGAGGGTATGATTGAGTCCCCTAAGGCGAACTCGGTAAACAAAAACACGCCGCACCGCAACGCTTTACAATAGGGCCCCTTAAAAGGTGTGGCTTTGCGCATGTAGGGGGCCCTTGCCAAGAAGGTCAGTATGGTTTGGAGCTGTTGGGGGGTGTTCAAAAGAAAGTGCGTTCCTCTTTGGGGGATGTTGCAGCGAGATTATCCAAATGGAGGAGTTTCCGAACATGGAGCATCCAAAACAAGGTTGGTATGCCAAGCGAGTCACAGGAAACCATCCACTGCGCGTGTGCTCACTATCAGAACCTTTGCCACTGATTGCGGATCCAACAAGATGTTTTGCCCCTTCATTTCTCTGACCACAAGCCTTTTTAACTTCCATGTTCTTGCTCACGGTCAGCCTATATGCAATCCACAACATGGCTATCTGAGCGCACAAAGCTCTCCACCCATTGAGGGAAAACAGCGCCCTACGCAGCCGAAATTGTGGCCATTGTGCGCCGCTCATTTGGAAAAACACAACACGGCCTTGTCAGTTGGTGTCCATCATTCCTGCATCAGTGTAGCTGCCAGTACCTATCCTTCAGGCTGTTAAGGTGGGTCCTTCGAGACCCGACGGTAGCCGACGAAAGGAGGCGCAAAGGCGTGGCTGCCAACGCGTCATTTTGAGAAGAGAAGGAACTGCAAAAGCAGCTCCGTTCTTTTCACAAAACCACATAAATCGTTCAATTCAAGCAAATTCAACCGCACAAGTCCATACGAATCCGCCCTAAAGAACGGTGGACGGATTTGCCATCCACTGAGTCCACTTTCGCCTGCGAAGCGTGAACAAAAGTCGGCAGGACACCAAGTCCGCAGGGATGTTCTTGGCGTATCAGGCCCCAAAAACGGTTGGGTTGAAGACACATCCCACTTAGGTCCTCAAGTAGAGAGGTTAGAATAAGGGTACCAACTTTTTCCTGCAGTCTATTTTAGTAGGGGAACCCTCCCGCAGAGAAAAGGGTAAAAGGGCACTACTGGGGGACCTAGCCACACGAGCGATTAAGAGTTCTTAAGGAACTGGTTGGCGACTCTGGAGGGCCCTTTGCGTGCCCCTCGCGCCCAAGCCCACCCTGCCCTAAGAAACCGCCCCGACCGCTTCCAACGACGGACGTTTTTCTTGTTTTTCTCGCGCGTCTTGCGACTTCTGCTCGATCATCTCCACTTGCCCCTGAACAGCGCACTTGGATGACATGGGGAGGGGGTTTGAGGGTAGCCTGTTCACCTTGAAGCCTGGCAATGGGGCGTTTGAGGGTTCCCTTTTCACCTTGGCAAGGACTACGTAACATTTGAGGGGGAGGAGTTCGCCTGTTTTTTTTGGCATATCTACCCACATGTAAACTGTAGTGGAAGAAAAACAAGTGCCCGAAGCATCAATCCCTCCAAAGAGCCTTCGCGCCTCAAAAATGACCCCTTTCAGGGTACCTAGCCGAAGTGCTGTCAAAGGCGGGGAGGGATCTTGGAAAACTAGGAACCAACCTGCCTGCGGGTTTTTTCAGTCTTCACGAACCCCCAAAACCTGGGCCCAAAAGGTACATCAAGACGAGTTCAGAGGGAGGCCTGGTGGAGTCCGAAGGATCAAACATCTGACCTGAGCACCTTGCCGCCTAAGGTGCCGCTTGTGAGTCGAGTACCAAAAAGGGCCTCTAATGTTGACAACCCATAGGCTGTGGGTCAAACCCCTGGTACCCCCCCAGATTCCCTTTTAAAATGGACTGATCAATACCCGCAAAAACAAACCAAAAAACAACACAAGGTATCCGGGTTTTGGCCCACACCGTGAAACCCGACGTGGATATCTCCAGGATAGTCGGAGGCCCTGTGGAACGCGAGGTGCACAGAAAAAACATTCCGGCTTTCAGGTTCTGTTTAACTAGGTCCTCCAGATTTGAACGGTTACAATAAGGGTTCCAACTTTTTTCTGTAGTCTATTCTAGGGGAACCCTCCCCCAAAAACGGGCAAGGGCACTACTGGGGGACGTAGTTCATATCTAGTCTGTCCTCAACATGTAACATAGCTTGGATAATTCACCGGTTTTAGTGGTACCTGATTCTAAAGGGTTCCTTTGCTCCCCCCCAACAAGTTGAAAAAGGACATGGCACCTCTTGAGAAAGGGGTATGGTAACAAGAGTATGAACTCAGGAATTTCGTCCACTACCCGAACGGACGTGGAGAAGTTGGGGCCCATCCCCAGACAAAATAATGGGTGTGTCTAAAAATGGGGGGTACCTAAACACATGGTCGGCGTCCTTTGGCTTGCTTTTTAGAACCCCATCCGGGTGGCATCCAAGAAAGGCAAAGCCTGCCACTGGAATTGTCACGCTCTCTTTTTTCTTACCCTCGGTGTTCAAACCACCTAGGTTATCACCATGGTTATAAGGTGACTGGCCTCAGTTTCCCCGCAGTACCAGATTCATCAACCCCATGCCATTGGGAAGAGCTTTCGAATAAGGCCCTGGCTGATCAGCTCACGCACCACGAGTGGAGCAAACCAATGCAATGACCACTTGTTGTGTACTCTGAAAATGGGCTCAACCCAAGTGTTTGCAGTTCAGAATCCCAGAAGTTGAGATTTGAGTGGGTGTTCGTGGCCAAGATAGTAAGTGGCTAGCCAAATGCACTGTACTAATCACTTCCAAGCCCCCTTCCCTGCTTCCAAGGCCCCCTTCCCCCCTAACTTTCGTGTATATTAATATGTATGTATATATAATATATATATATATATGTTATATATATATATGTGATTACCTAGCTGTTTAATCCACTTAACTTGGCCAAACATCCAAGCGAGTTTGTCCTCTTTGGGGAACCCCAAACATGGCAGGGTTTCCTGCTTCCCTTGAAAACCACCAACAAATGGGTACCTCAAAAGACGGCACACCCAAATGGCCATGGGTCAAAATTTTGTTTTCCCAGTGAACATCCCAAGCCCCACTAAAATGAAAAAATCGACTAAAATGGGTGGCGCACCTACCCCAAAATGGGATCCAAAACGGTTTTGACCCGCAGCCAAACAGCCGCTGCAGAACTTAGGCGCGGACTTGCCACCTTTACCGCCACCTTTGCCCTTGCGGTTTCCGCCTCCACCTCCTCCTGCACAGACAGACCGCTCCCAAGGCTACTTAGGGCTTCAAGGCCTAAACCGTGGGTAGGAGGTCTTTGGAGGGTTGGCTTGTACGGATTTTTGCAAGTGAACCAACTACAACCACAAAATGCTGGCAGATTGCAACTCACATAGGTGAGCCCCGTGTCTCCCTCACTTGCAATGCTCAGCAACAAAACACTACACTGGCGCCATGCTTCTTAGCTGAAGCGACCCCAATTGAACGGTTACAACTAGGAAACCTACGAACAATCCAGCAGTAGCAGGGCTCCGAATCTGAGTTTCTGGTGCTCCTTTCCCTCCCAAAACCCCAGAAAGGGTGGTCATGTTGCCGTCTTTGAGAGCAGGTAGGCCTCCAAGAAAGAGGAGCAAGCAAGCGAACGAGCAAGAAAGCAGGCAGGCAAGCCAGACAGCCAGGCCGGTCGCCAGACCGAGCAAGCGGACGTATCAAAACACGTCCAGGCCGGCGTTTGACTTTGGCCAGCCACCCGAAAAGCCAACGGCCCGGCCTTTACTTCTGCCATAAGAGCTTCCGCCTGAGCGCCGACTCAAAGTAGTCCGGGCCACAAAAGGATTCAGCCATTTGGACACCAACCAACCAACCAACCAACCAACCAACCAACCAACCAACCAACCAACCAACCAACCAAAGCAAGCAAGCAAGCGAAGAAAGCAAGCAAGCAAGCAAAGCAACTAACCAACCTACCAACCTACCAACCTACCAACCTGCTAACCTACCAACCTGCCAACTTACCAACCTACCAACCTGCCAACCTACAACCTACCCACCTACCAACCTACCTGCTGACATGTATGCATAGACCAACTACCCTATATAAGCGTCTCCGGTCTTCAACAAAGGTCCTTTGTCCACAAGCTTCCAATGGAGGTCACAAGGTCCTTTCTGATGGATTCTCAAAGCTCTTTGGGGTAATGTTGACCCCAAATAATAGGACTGGGGGCCCCTGCAAAGGTGATGCATCCCCTATTAGTCAACCAGGGGGGTGATTTGGCGGTTTGCAGCCATTGGAATCCCTCTGCCATCGTCGTGTCTGGGCAGTGGGCTTCACCTGTTTCGAAATGAGGCCGCCACTCCAGCCGGATGCTGCCCAGCCTGCGAAGGATCAAGGTGATCACCTTTTGATGCCAGAACTGAACATGGTTGGCCAAAATTGGAAGGTCAAAAAGGTCGGCTTGGACAACTGAGAAAAGGCCTGAGATTCCCTGTGGATTTCATCCGTATCCAATCGACTCGGACCGTTCGTGGCCATTTAGGTGGGGATTCGTGTCCTCCAACCTCCAACCAACAAATTCGGCGGTGAATGGAACTCACATGGGTCTGTGCCTAAATTGGGGCTGAGTAAAAAAACACACCCGAACGGACATCTCTCAAAGGTACTGCTTCTTCTAGGCTTGCCCAATTGGAATTCAATTGGTCATTGCTAATAATGATTAAATAGACTTACTGCTCAAATATAATTCACATCAAGTATGGCTAAACATTTAAGGGACTTCTACAAGGAATTCGAAATTGGATTTGTGTTAGTTGCATTATGGCCCTTTTGTAGCATAGAAAGGTCCGAAATTAAATTGGTTAGACGGTTTTCCAAAATCAAATTTCAGGGGATTAGATGAGCAGATGTGAACAGGTAGTTCAGGGGGAGGCGGGGGTGATGGGGTGTGAACATGCATACCTATATATATACATATGCATACATACATACACACATATAGTACCCCTCAAAATCTTGCGCCACTTCTTGAAATACTATAAAATACAGTGCTCTTGAGCATTACAACTACCTTTGTTTACCTCCTGAAAAAAAGGGTCAACATGAGCAAAGCTGACATCAAGCAAAAAGCTCAACAAAAGCACTTGAAAGTGTGTCTAAGTACTTGAACGTTGTTTCACTGGATCGTTTAAGCACTTGAAAGTATTCTACCACTGGATTGAAGATGCAAAGTTGAAGATCACACAGAACACTTTCCTGAGAATCGTCAATCCTGGCCAAACCCGAACAACATTCAAGTTATTCTAAATGCTTGCAAGTGCTTTACCACTGGATTTAAGATTCAAGATTGACGATTGCACAGAACACTTTCCGGAAAATCATTATCCCTGGCCAACCCAAACAAACTTGTAAGTTGCTCTAAAACCTTAAACGTATTTTCTCACTGGATTGAAAATTCAAAATTGACATCTTTCACGGAATACTTTTTCCGAGAATTGTGTCCTCGGATTTGAATCCAGTCATTAATTGAATCACACGGAGTCTCTGATACCCTTGAACAATGATTGCTCATGAGTTGGCCAGGTTTCAAACTTCTCTGGGACTGGGGGGGCCCTTTCCCAAGTGACACTACCAGACTATGACAGGTCCCATGTCAGGTAAGTGCTTGATATCCCCAATGAAGCCCCCAAAGTCGGATTGACCGTATATAGAACATTTGTAGAACTTTTTTCCCCACTGAGGTGGCGTATTCACTGGGCATAGTCACGGGTTGAATGGGCTGGTCATCTTCAAGGACTTGTACTGTAGCTTCTCCGAGTGTGTACAATCGAATGCAGCCTTTCCCTCATAGCAGCCATGTACAACATCCAACAAGTCTACGCCATGCCATTCAGAAAGCAAGAATGACAGGTCCAAGTATATCATAAACTTAGATACAGGGAACATTCTCGTCACGTGTCTTCTTACTTAATCGCGCAAACAACTCTGTGATGGATTTGTCGAATTGCATGCCTGAACAGCTTCAACATTTAAAGATGCGAAAAAGACATGTAACCGTGAGCCGCTCCTTCCCTTCGCAACTTGATCATGATAAACAACCTAGAGGTAGCCGTACCGACAGATTACCTAGCTGGGCTCTTCTCAGATCCCCTGCTAGTCTAACTTTCAGTGGTTTGGAAACCACCACTCAACCAACTAAAAGCCTGAGCACCTGTTCGTAAGGGGGGGTTCAGGGTCAGATGCAAGTTCTTTACTGGATGGGTTCAACCAGCCATCATTCTTGCAATTACATAATATGAGAGCGCGACAACTTGCATACTCAAGACTCGATTGCCAATCCGATGTCACAATCTCTACGTTGAGAATTGAACGTTCTGTTTCTTCCATTTGCTTTCTCGCCCCCTGGTTCAAAAATGAGAACATATGTCCAGCCGTGAAAAAATCAATCCCCGGTACTTGTTTTGCCCCAGGCCTTCGGCCCAGGCGTCACCCCAGCTCTCACCCCATTCGCCTGCCGCAGTGGGGAAGGCACAAGGACGCCCGGGTCGTGACCCCTCCCAACCGGTCCTCCAGTAGTTTGAGGTTAGAATAAGGGTAATTGCCAACTTGTCTTGCCGGTTTTGTCTATTTTAGGGGAACCCTCCCAACCAAAAAAGAGTAAAGGGGCACTAGTGGAGGACCTAGCCTCCAACTCACACCCCGGCCCTATGGAGTCTATGGAGTAGCCCGAGCCTTTCCTCAGGGCCCTTGAAAACAAGCCGTTTTCAGGGCTCAAGAACAATCGAGACCCGGGCGGCTGGGAATCAGTTGGAAAAGGCTTGGCGACTTTGTGAACAAAACAACTCCGAGTTGTTTGCCCCTCACTGCCACCCACTAAACATGAAGAGAACGTCAGGAGAAAGCAAACAAAGCCCAAAAAAGAGAACTGCCAAGCACAGTGAAGAAATGGGCACCCATTCCCATGATTATTTCTAAAGTGTTTCCGCCAAAAACTCCCATTCCCGCGCCCTGAAGGGAAGAAAAGGGAGCCCTCCTACTTTTTGGGCGGGGGGGGCCACATGTTTGTGGTGAATTCCAAGAATACCCAAACCTGAAGTAAGAATTGCACCCAGAAAAGGACCTACGTCGTGGTCGCTCGCTTTCTCCCCCGGTGAGCTCGAACGTGCGACTCTGGCAACATTAAATCAGCAGCCAAGAGGCCAAGCAGCACTGGATCCCAGTTACCACGGTAAGTACTCAACAAGTGTCCTTCTGGGTTTCAAAGGGTGGTTCTCTTGGGTACCTGCTGTACAGGGAACTGGACCCTCTGCCATCACCAACGCTGCAAACAAAAGCTCAAACTGGACGAGGTAAGGGGCAGTCCGGAACACGCAACCACGAACGCCTTCCGGAATTTCCTTTCAAAGAATAGTCAGGTCATCAAGTTCTCATAAGCCTTCAGTGACCCGGTTCCCTGTTTTCCCCGTCCAATATATCAATACCAACCAAAGCAAGAGCCGTCGAAAAACTAAAGCGACTCGACTCTCTTTAACACGATGCCAGCTCCGGGGGACATGGTTCCAAATGTGTTTCCCCTGTAAAACTGGGCTGCCCGATTTCCGATCCCCCGCTAAAAGTGACTTTAAAGCCACCAAAGTGGGACATTTGCTAGGTCCTCCAGTAGTTGGAGGCTTGAATAAGGGTACCCGACTTTTTTCTCTGTAGTCTATTTTAGTAGGGGAACCCTCCCCCAAAAAAGAAAGGGTAAAAGGGCACTACTGGGGGACCAAGTTTGGACACCTCCGAAGTTTGAACTGGAGATGAAGTCAGTTCGTGTTGCGCAACTTCGCCCTGTCCTCCTGCGTGCACTGGCCCCAAAGAAGTATGAACTTACCTACTACTTGTCGATTGCTTAAGCCCTCGGGAAAAAAACTACAACTATCGACTTCCAGTAGTAATAGGTTCCATTTAAATTAACAAGGTTAGAACAAAAAATATGAGCATCTTAAGCAAATGGAAGTACTGAAACCGCTCTTCCCAAGTGACCACAGTCCGGAAACGGAACTTTCCGGGAGTGATATACAAAAGCTAGGTCCTCCAGTACAGAGCTTAGAATAAGGGCACCCTTCTTTCTGTAGTCTATTTTAGTAGGGGAACCCTGGCCAACCACAAAAGAAACGGTAAAAGGACACTACTGGGGGACCTAGAAAGCCATTGGGATGAGAGAATTGAAGTATCGAGCCATGAGTGGACAGCAGAAACGCCCATAAACTTGGTTGCTGTAAGGACCCCCCTGCAAAAAGTGGACAACTTTTGGGGGTGTAGTGGAAAACAGCTTTATTTCACAAAAAGTTTAAGTCTAACGATCCAACACAATAGCAGTCAAGTAAAAAGCTCATACAGTGGATGGACAAAATCCGTTTGCACCAGCTAAGAAACCATGGGAAGCCATTGGTATTTGCAAGGGAATCATCAGAAACCAGGGTGTCATGGATTGGAGGTATGGATGCTTGTATTTCAATATGCACGCAGCGCAGTATACCCATATAAGTGGTACTGGTTGGGCATGTGTTCAAACAACCTGATGGTCCCTTCGAAGGCAAACCAAAGGGAGCTTTAAAGGACGCGTTCAGGATGTGTTGGGTGTGCCAACAACTATATGTAAGATTATGTAAGCCTTTCTAAAGGGGGGTCGGTGTTCACCCCATTGCGGGTGAAAAACCAAGGGACAACTTCAAGAAACCTAAGGCAAGCCAACTGCAGAAAAGGTTCCTGGAAGGATGGGAGCCAATCGATTTTCCGGTACACACCGCGCCTTGTGAGGAAGACACATCAAACCACCCGGAAATTCGCTGAAACGTCCCATCTGTCCCGCACCCGCCGGATTTTTTTCGGGCGTTCTGGATATGTTTTGTGGCTTCTCCGCGGACAAGTCGAGCGCCTTTTTCGTCTCTAGCAAATTCGTTGGATGCCAAGTCCGATCCGACATCCGCAGGCTCCGCTTCGCCCCCAGAAAAATCCCTAAATGAATAAACAACCAAACGGTCGACTCCTAGGATGAGTGGGGCCGGGGCTGGACGGCGACTTCGGAGCTGACCACTGGGCCCCTGGTATGCTTCAGGGTCACCGGATTTCCCGGAATCCGAGTTGGGCATGGGTCAAAATTAAACCACCAGGGGACCGCTGGTTTTGGTCCATGTTTCTACTAGGGTTCAATTTGGGGTACCTATTTTGGACCCACAGCCATTTGGTAGGCTCTGAGTGATTGCCATTGGAGGTCCAAATTTTCCGGGAAATCCATGGAGCCCTCGACACGCGACTCGAAACGTCTCGTGAACTGTTGCCACAACGTCTGAGACCCGTCGTCAGATACAATTTTCGGATCCATTGCCCGTGCCCCTATTTTAAGGCGCCAACTCACTCTTGGGGGGGACTTTGAAGGATCTCATCTGTAATAGACCCGGCAAAAGGGTTCAATGAAGCGCTTGAGGGGAAGGTGGTCGAGCTTAAGAAAGGTGCCTTGTCTTCAATGGAGAATGGGTGGAATTCCGTGGCCGGAATTCCACCGGGTCATCTCCCCTGCAACAGACATGTCACTCCTTCCCGCTTCAAAAACATATAATAACTTTCCCTGAAAGAATCGAAGGAAGGTGCCCCCGAATCCACCGAATTGAATATCCTTTTCAGAAACATTCAGAAACAAGGATGCAAAGAAGCGAACACTAGCCAAGATGAACCCCCCCACCCCCCCATGTAAGGCATAAGGCACCCCTGCCCCACTATCACTCTACTTTCAGCCTGGCCATCGACTTCTCTCCTCTGGGCATTGAACCCGAAACCTCCCCCGGCCACGTTCAGCAGGGGGAGCCTGGAACAGCCTGTAGGCTCTTTGCAAGGCCAGTGACACTTATGCGTTCTTGGAGGTTACTCTTTCTTTCTTCTTGCGTCGATTTGGCCAAAAACGTCTGAACTTCTCGTGTCCCACAAATGCTCCTAGGTCCTCCAGTAGAGAGGTTAGAATAAAGGTACCAACTTAGTTCTGTAGTCTATTCTAGTAGGGGAACCCTCCCCCAAAAAAGAAACGGTAAAAGGGCACTACTGGGGGACCTAGACTAAAATGCTCCTCGCGGAGATTTTATAAACGTTGACCCAAAGATATCTTGTGAAACAGCAATTGGGTAGCTCAACTCATTGCCCCCCCTCTCCCGAAAAATTGCTCCAAAGGCAGCTGGAATATCAGGTCAAAATCTGTGGGCACCCCAATGAACTGGATAATTTGTGTGAGGCCCAGCCTCTGTTGGAAAATCAGGGTCCCTGTCCCTCCCAAAATAGCCGAACCTCAATGCTGATGCCGATGAATGGCAACGGAAACTTCCCGGTGTGCCCTTGAGACGATCCATGCTTCACTTTGGGGAAACGCCCTAATAACAAAAAAAACACGTTCTTCATCCCCATGTGATGTGATGGCACCCTTCCACTTGCTTTTTCGCACCCTGGAAAAAACTACACAAACCAAAATATGCCCAGTGATAGATTCCCTTTAACCCAGGGACATAAACTATATTCTTCACCAACTGGAATCACCCCTGAATTGCAGCCATCGCTGCCTGTACAGCCCATCGGGGTGTTTGTCGCCGGGGCGTTTGTCGCCGGGGCGTTTGTCGCAAATGCCGCGCCCCAAGGACATACGCTGCTCGCATGTCCATGCAAAAGAAGCGAGCCAGACTCGGAGCTGCTGTTGCCCAGAAAAAAAGAAGAAAAAAAACACCATGTGGCCATGGCTCAAAAGCCCGTACCCCCAGTGCCCACTAAAAAAGACTAAAATGGGTGGTGCACCTACCCCAAAATGGTACCATTGGTGTTGACCTACGGCCATGTGGGAACCAGTCGAGAGCCCCCAACCAATCCAAACGCTTTGTTTGCCCCCAAAGTTGTGTTGTCTTCCCAAAAAGTGACGCGAGGCACTCAAAGAGCGCGACTATCATTTCTCAGTGACCTTCATGCCTAAGTCTTACCCCGGATGTGTTGTGGGGGTCCCCTCAAAAAGACACACCCAGATGTGACACCTTCTGGAAAAGGGGCAGCTGCTTGAGCATGGTGCTTTCCGTGCTACGGTGCCGGTGCCGTTGTCGGTAGCGTCATCACCTCAGGTGTTGTACTTGGGCGCGGCTGTACAAGGAACGTAGTGCTTTCCGTAGTTGGTGCAGGTGGTGCCGTTGTCGGTATCGTCATCACCTCAGGAGTCGTAATTGGCGCAGGTGGTGCCGTTGTTGGTAGCGTCATCACCTGAGGCGTCGTACTTGGGCGCGGCTGTATAAGGAACGTAGTGCTTTCCGTACTTGGTGCTGGTGGTGCCGTTGTCTGCAGCGTGGTGGTTGTCGTCGTGGTCCACCAACCTGACAATCGATGACATGTCAAAGGCTGATGACACCGCTTACTGTGATGGACATCCTGCACCAAACGGGATGGATAAGCCCCTATGAATGATCATGGCGTAAACCACGAGCAGATGTTATGTTCCTTGGTTCACCAGAATGGCAAGTTGAGTCTCATGACATGTTGGCTCTGGCCATTGCGCGCCCTAGTGACTGGATTCGTGGAAGAAAACCAGCACTCCATGCCCAAACTCCGATTTATGCCAGATTTTATGTTCAAAGTCTAAGTCAAGCCGAAGCCAGCTGCTCATCCCTGGGAATACATGAAGAGGTCTTCATATGTATACATCCCAGAGGCTCCTGGGGCTTTCAATGGAAGACCAGCCCCTCCATTAGACACCCCGGAAAAAGGTTGGGGGTCTTGCAACAGGCGGTTTGAAGGCCCTAAATCCATCGAATTGGAGCCTTACGTTCAATGCATCCGGAGCCTCTAGCCCCGTCAAGGTGCTTCTGGCATGGGATGTTTCATTCCCCAAGGGCAACAAGAAAGATTCACCGGCATGATTGGCAGCGGCTTCATAAGCAATCCATTTGCGTTTTCGCCCCCTGGGGAAAATATATATTTCCGGCAGTGATCGATTCCATTTAAACCCAGGGGAAAGCAAAAACAAACTTGAACAAATGGAAGATAAGCCATCCCGAGCAACACCTTGAAGGCCTCAAAACCACTCCAGCAACGGGGCACTTCCAAAGGACTTCGATGGTTGAAACCAAAAAAGGGGACCAACCCTATAGGATCCCCTTGGACTTTATGGCCTTTGACCCGCTATCCGCAAATAAGGTCTTGGGCCCTTACACATGCATTGACGTCCTCCGCCCTTTGAATCAGCTCAACCAACCGCTCAGGGCTCGGCTTGTGAAACCCGACATGTTAGACCCGGAGAAGTGGGGTGTCAAGGTCCGGCGCACCAAAGAAATCGAATCGGAGATGGTTGCAAAATCCATTTCGCCCCACCTAAGAAACCCTGCAATGATTCCGATTCCCGGTACATACCTACACACGTTCTGGTTTCAACCATGGTAACTCATTTCGGTGGTGCGAAGGGATCTCGCAACCATCCACCGTATGAGCTTCAGAGCCTCTGGCTGTGCTGGCGGTTCATTCCCAACCCCTGGTGCACCCACCTGAGTCATAGTCAAAACCCGGTATTCAAATGGTCTACCCAGAACCATGTAAAGAATTAAGAATGCGGCCGCAGCTATTTATGCCTGGGATTGTCCCTTGCTAACCTTCATCAAGGATCCTTACATTATACACCTGAAAATTGCCTTGTAAATGGTGGTGTCCCTTTTATTTTGGTGTTGAAAAAGCAACATGTTTCAAATGGTTGCAAACTCCATCTCATCAATCCCCGGGCTTTGAGCACGTGGCTCTGCGCTTCAAAAAACCGAGCTCGGTCCAAGCGTCGCCGAGCCCAGCGGCTTCTCCGGGGGCGCTGCAGCAGCTGGCTGGCATCACACTCCTCGCGCCGATGTGGCCATGGGCTTTTCAAAACCCGGTTAGCCCGGTTAGAATTACCCCCAGTGAACATCCGATTCAATCCAACCACTAAAATAGGAAGCCTAAAATGGGTGGTGAATTCGCCGAAAACTTTAAAATGGGATGCGGTTTAAGGCTTGGCCAATCTGATTCTCCATCCGATAATCCACAGGGCAAAGGCTTTGACCCACTCCTTGCGTGACCCAAGGTAAGCAAGACCTTTGGACAGAAGAGAGACAAGAAGAAAAGCAACCAATTTTGGGCGAATGCAAAACAGCAAGTGAATCAGTGAACGAAGCACAAAGCCCATAAATCGCGTCCCGCTGTGTTTTGAACAAAGTTGACTTGGCCCGGAAACCATTTGAACTCTGCCAAAAGAAGGACTCGAGTAACGAAGGGCTGTTGGGACAGTGTATTGACATATATATATATATATATACGTACGTATATATGTATATGTATTTTGTATGTATTACTTCTTTCTGCGTCCGTATCATATGACTCAGGCAAAGTATGATCATTCGCCACCCGAAAACAAACAACATCCTACAAACGTAAAACATCATTCTGGGTTGTGCCGAACCTGCTTTTGAGGTCGCTACAAGTTAAACAAATACAATTTAATATCAACTTTGGACTAATCGAAAGGATATTCATATTAGAAAGGGTGATTCTACAAGAAGATTCATTCATTCACTTCATGGATTCTCTTTGAGGTCCTCTTGTTGAATACTGCAAAGTTAATGTCTTAAGGTTCACTAGCTCACTTATGACTGGATACAATGTACACACCAGCAACCCATTTCGCAGAATATGGGTATCATTTCTGTTAAACCTAAGGGGAGATGGCAATCTGAGGTTTGAACTGAGGAGCTGAAATGGTGGACATCATGTTTTGTGCTTTGGAATCGCTGTCCAACGAACCCTGTGAAGGGATGCTCTAATAGTCATAGCCAACATCCCAAACATTCTGAGGAGGTTCCATGTCGGTGTGACTTAAAATGAGGAACCACAAAATAAAAACGAGCTGGCTTGTGAAAAAGACGAGCCGCCCATGTCTACGGGCAGTGCACAATTTGCTGGAAACACCCCTGTGGATAACCCCAGACCTGTGGATTTCCATGAGAAACCAACAGATCGCCTGTGTTTGTGGATGACCCCTTCACCATCTTGCGAGGGAACAAGTTGAAACTCTCGAGAAACGGATCTAGAGGTCACTGGATTTCCCCCAAACAAGAGTTGATCCATGTACCGGTGGTGCCCATTGAAACGATCGAGTTCCACTTCCGGAGGTTCCTTTTGAAGGGACATGGAGGACACGCAGTTTGGGGCTGCTGGTATGTGAATTTAATTTTAAAACAGAGTTCCCTGCCGTACACGTCCAACCTGATTTAGCAGGAACCGGATTCACTGGATCAGCTGGTACAGATGAGCTTTAGATGTAAAACAGTTTTTGGAAAATATCCCAAAGGATAAGACAAGGCTCCGCCTCCAACTGCTCCGCAAAGACCGAGAGATGCAGGCAAAGGCAAACCGCCGCGCAGGCAGCGAGGCGAGACATGACTCGCTTTTTACAATTTTGGAGGCGCTTGAGCTGCCGAGGGGCTGCAGTCGATTGGATCTAAGCCCAACATGATTTGTTCCCTGATGGCATACAATTATTGGTCTAAGGGTGTTCATACTACACCCTGAGGGAAATTGCCCTTTCCATGAAGAGGGTCGGTCATTTTTGCAGTGGCACCCCCTGTTTTTGTTGTTTTTGAGGGGAAAGGCACAAGGAGGGTTTTCCTAGACCGTGAGAAGACTTGGGGGTTGAACCCCCATTTGCCCTTCACAACCAGGGCTTCAAATCTGCATCATAAACACCAAGGGTCAAACCAGGCTTTTCGATTTGGACATGCCACCGAATGAGGTGATTTCTCCAAGGGATTCCCTCGACGAAAAAAACACGAGCCTCACAAAAAATAGATGCACGTGTATGTCATGTATACATGTCTGCATAATATATATATGTATAATATATATATATACATATATATATATATATACATATATATATATACATATCTAGACATATATATATATATTTTATATATAATTATACAGCAGGTGACGCAACCGCACCCTGTGCCATTGGGGAATTCCGGTGTTAGGGACTGAGCCGTACCTTCGAGCCGGCCACCAAGCCGGCTACCCCGGCAAGTTTCCCAGGGCCGGCATCTTTTTGGGCGATCCTTGGGCCCCTGAAAGACGACTCTCCTGGAAGGGCCTTTTTGCATTTCCATGTTGGTGCGAGGGTAAGTCCCATGAACAGAGTATGCCCAGCAGTTTTGATAAAAACAACTAGGGAAACACACAAACATAGTGGGAAGCAAATGGAAGCAACCAGAAGTTGCGGGAATTTCGAAGTGCGAAAAGCCAAAGAGCTGCACAACCAAAAACGTGGCTGACCTCCCTTCTCGTTCTTTGGATCTCTCGCAAGTTTCAAAGTCTGGACTTTGAGAGCAACATGTCCATTGTATTCCATTGTGGCGTACACAGGAACGGCTGGTTTCCCCGAGCACGGCGATCTTACATGGTCAAGCCCAATTCGCCCGCAGAACCTAGTCGTCTGAAAGCTGAACATCATTTGTGGCTCAAAAAAAACCTGTAGCTTACATTAACTCATGGCTGAAGATCACCTGCTTCTTTCATCTTCATGAGTTCCGCAGTTTGGAGCGCGTCACTTGGACGAGCCACGATCCAAGCCTGCCCACTCATCCGCCGGAGCTGAAGCCAGCGCTTTCGCCGCCTGCGCTCGCGCAGCGTTGGGCGGCCTTGTGGGGATCCGATGTGCAACTCGAAAAAATCAGAGGTCCCAAAAAAGAACGGCACAGTGGGTCCAACTCTCCCCCTGCTAACTGAAAGGGTTCAAACCCTGAACTACTTGGAGGGTACCCTTCCCGAGCGCTTGGAGGGTCCCTTTTGTACCCTGTACCGCCTGTACCTTGTTTCGCTTGGAGGGTTTCTGCTTCTAGCGAAAAAAAAAGCGAGGGGACACTGGGTCCAACACTCCCTGTCTCAATTGAGATTGCCACAAGTCCAAGCTTGCTAACAAGGGTTCAAAGCTTGTCCAGCGTGAAAGGGCCAAACCCTGTACCTCACATAAGTCAGCTCTCAGGAGAAACCGGCCCACAAGATCCGAATTTCCATCCTCTGGGCATATGGAAATCAGGTGTCAGGGCCCTCCCCTTCTCGCCCTCAAGCAAACAACAGAATATCAAATATGGGCGATGTATGGCGCCAAATAAAACAGGCGCCTGGCCATCTTGGATGGGATCCCCCCTACCTTAAGGGAGGGTGGGAGTCACCCAATTCCATGTATCTAGTGTTCCCCATAAATCTTAAATGGATTTTGGAACCATAACCAAACCAGCACCTAAGGATTACCTGACAATTCCATTCTCGGGCCGAGGGTGGGAACTGAACCAGCGACTACCCGCATGGTCATGGTGACGAGCAGGGTGACATATGGCCATGGTACCATGTAAAGAGTATACGGGCGTGAAGTTCCAACCACTTTTAAAGTATTACCTCTTAAAACTCGTAGACATCATATATAAAAGTGGAATACCCAAATTTCTATCCGCCCATTGTTCGGACTCCGAGGACCCCGAAGCAACATCAAAAGCATCAACATCACTGACACCATTGAATCTGGGCTTGGCAGCTATGGGCCCCGCGATCTCATAGATGTTCCATCTGCAAACATGACCCAAACTCGAACAAAATTCAACTTGACCATATCTTGGTTGACGTTGGAAGGGGAGCAAAAATTCATTTTTTAGCAGTTAAGTGGAGATTTCCCACTAAACCACAATAAGAAAAATGTAAAATGTTGCCCAACAACAACCATGATATTACAAAAAGCTAATATTCTAAAGCCGCAAACAGCCTTGTGTCGCACAATGTGTAGACCTTGTGTTGAGCTACCAGGTGTTTCTGGCGAAAGTCGGTCCATCTTCTTCTTCTATCTTGGGTGAACCCAGGGGGACATACCGGTTAGTATTCATGGGGCTTCATCCATCCCTGGTGCGATCTTTTTGCGGATTTCGCCCATCAGTAAAGGGACACTCACTTGACCCCGACCCAATGAATCTGATCAGCACAGCTGAGCAGCGACTTCAGTCATGGCTCAAAATGTGACGCAGGTTTTCATCTTTGGGTCTATTTACCCCATTCTGGGAACAACTTAGGTCCAGTAGTTTGAGCTTAGAACTTTCGGGTGCCCATTTTTCTGTAAGGAACCCAAAACCAACCCCAAAAAAGAAGGGGTACAAGTTGGCACTACTGGGCTTTTCTGAAGTCTATTTTAGTAGGGGAACCCAAAACCAACCCCAAAAAAGAAAGGGTAAAAGAGAGGGCACCAAAAATAGGGGGACCACTCGCATGATTTTCAGCCAGTCATCGGTTTTTGGTCCTCAGGCAGCTCCCCGTTCTTCGTGGGCTTGATGAAAGCCGCGAGAGAGGAGGTGGCCTGCGGCGTCCGAGAGCGACGACTTCGGCGGAGTCCCGGGTCGCCCGCTTTTTTGGGCACGGGTCTCACGAGCGGATTGGCTAAGAAGGTCCGAACACTTGCTGGTCACTAAACTGATCTTGCCAAAGTCGAACTCAGGAAGTGAGTGGTACCAGGGCCCTCATAAGTAGAATGAGGTGGCCCCAAAAACAGACTTATTGTTAGGTCAGAACTACCTACAAACAGCAAGGCGAGCAATACCTTTTCCTTGAGCGGTAAATCCCGTACCCCCCGGCGAACATCCCAATCCCCACTAAAATAGGTTCTAAAATGGGTGGTGAATTCACCTACCCCAAGATGGGATCCAAAACGGTTTTGACAACCACAGCCGTATAGCTACCTAGCAACAAGACTCAGCACGTGAAAAGTGTTCAGAAAATTCTTGTTTGCCCCTCCCAAAGCTTCGCATTTTGAAGCTGATCGCTCAAAGGATCCAAGGACTCGACCCGGAGAGAGGGCATTTTGGGGAGGTGAAACATCTCCAAAACGATCTCGATCTGTTTCATGAGTTGGACAACACATGTCCAACCAGTGTGCAGGGAAAACCGAACGTACCTGAAACACAGACACTTGTCATGTTCCGCTTCTTTTTGTCGGGACAGAATACCCAAAGTGGTATTGTGTGTAGGCCCGGACATGTAGCATGGTGCAAGGTGACACGCCGAGCGAGTTGCGCTACACACCAACGACCAAGGGGTTTGCACCGCACAGAATGGCCCATAGTTGGGCCATGTGGACGGACAAACGATTCGTGCCAGGCAACAGTTGGGATTGGTGTTTGACAAGCCAGTTTTAACAGAGCTTCATCCATCCCAGCTGGTTCAGAATTCTGTCCAGTGTCTAAGGAGGCTGGGTGCTGCATGTTGTCATGAATTCGGGTACAGCAACTCACTGGGGACACCCCACTGAAATAGGGGACACCCCCCAAAGGAACATTCAAGGTCGCGAAACATAATTCCTACCATAGTGTTATTTTCCTCGATCAGGGTGTTGGATCGGGGGAAGCAACTATCCTATTGCTTTCCTTTGGGAAACTAAAAGACCAGGGCCCATGCCCTTCTGGTTGCCCCAAAGGAGAAATGACAACAAACACATCACCTAGCTGAGCCCATGGCACTCATTGAGGAACCCTTTCCTCATGCCAGTTTGGTTGTGCCCAATAGCACCTGGCATTTGGCACCCAAGTGGCTGGGGCCTCAAACACGCTGCCTACGTGTCTGGCCACATGGCTCATATTCCCAGCTCAGTGCCATCACGTGTTTGTTTCCCTCACGGAATTGTGACTCAACTGACGCGTGGAAGAAACCGCGGTGTCCTGCGTGGGAGCACGCTTCTCCTCTTCGTAATCATTGCCTGGCGAGAGGCGCAGCGGCGAGACGAATCGTCCTTCCTTTGCGCCGCCCGAAACACGGGGCGATTCCAATCGGATTCAGATGGAGGACCTTTCTAGTGGGGAATTCATATATGTGCATGGTTGCCAAAACTATTTCGCGCCACCCAACGAACCTTGGAAAATAATGATTCCTCTGTCAGAAACAAACAACAATGGTTTTCCATGGATTGGAAGCGGTGCAGGATTTCGTCCATGCGCACTCGGTGAAATCCTCTGATTAGCATGGTTCTCGGGATTAGTTAATCCAAAGTCAACAGTAAAACAGGGTGTGTTGTTTTTTTCAAAGGACCCCAAATTACGACAGACCTCAACTGTACCTGGGACGAGTACTTTTAGACCTACGTGCCTTTACAAACACAGGTGCGGAAAGCGCTCCTTGCAGGTCCCCCGTTGCTGCCAAGGCATGTTGCGGCACTCCCGCTGCCACCTCGCTTCCACCATGCCAACACCAGCTGCTGCGTCTTCTGGAGGGGTGCAGTACTACTGCGGTTGGCTTGTCTGGCCGCCTCTGCCACCTCTGGCAAGACTGCAGTCTCCTCGCACTCCTCCTCGCTTGGCCACACATATATTTGTCCAACATGATTCCAATCTGCACCCACATTGTGAATCGTTTGCATGGGCGTGTCTTCTGTTGATGGTACCCCTGGTACCCTTTCTTGGGGGCGGGTTTCAATCGGAACAAGAGGAAATCAGTCCTACTTTGAGGCACACCCATAGTAGTTTGCCCAGAACGATTCCCTGCTTGACTAATTTACCGGCTGGATGGTTGCTCTGATCCTGGCAAAGGAAACGAGAACACTAGGATCCTACTCACAGTTGGCTGATGCAACTCCTTGTGTCCACATTCTCAAACCACAGAACCACAGTTGCTAAAGCAGATCAAACTGACGGGAGGGTACCCTTTGTGATAAGGGTTCAAAGGAATGCCAATGGGAAAACCACCCACCACCCAACTGCTCTCGAAATCCTGGCTCCTTCAAGCACCCACCAACAACTGCTTGTTGGATAGTAGCAAGGGGAATCTTGGGCATGGCTTATTCTGGCAGGTGAAACCCGTGCGCCGGTTTCATAGCGCCTCGGCCCCATCCTTCTCGATCGCCTTTGCCCTTGCGCCGGTCCTTACCTGTTCAGGTGTCAGAATCGCGGGTTCGGTGTCCGTTTTGTTTCTCCGTTATGTCCCTTCAAAACGACCAACCCCCACAGGGTCCCTGGTACTCCATACACGGCTTTGGGTCTGGTAATTCGTCAGCTACACATTCCTCAAATCTGCAAAATGAGGCACTTGATTCCTTTGAGACCATCAGAGTCACACCCAAAGTACTGGGTTAAAGGAACACAACCCCAGAGAAACTGACTTTGATATATATCAGCAAAACGACCCAGCACAATACAGGGGTGTTTTCGACGGCTGGTTTCAAGCACCCTATGTTGACCCGTACCGAAATGAAGTGTCCGCCAATAATCTTCAAATGATGCAACAATTCCAAGACCTGAAGAAAGGGTGAGGTCGTTTTACCTCCGGGTCGGTGAGCTTACCAGGGAAAAAAGGCAGAACAAATCAAACAGAGCCCCCTCCAACGACTGCTTTTTCCCGTGCAAGCTGCGTCCAAGCAGCAGTCGCCAGGTTCTGCTACCCATGCCCTGGTCGTTTCGTTGTGAAAGACACAGATTGTCTTCTCTCCAAGTGGTGGTTTGGCGGTTTGGAGGTTCGGGGCGGGGTACATAGCTTCCCAGTGTCTGTTCAGCTTCCCACAGCCTGTTTCACACACACACACCAACAAAAAACAAAAACAAGACCACCCTCCGCAAAAGCGCACTCTGCTGTAGTACATTCATTATTTCTTAAGTTCTTGTTCCGGGGGTGCGCGTTTCATACGTATTAAAAGAAAAACACACACACACACACACACACACAAACACCCACCCACCCACCCACCCACCCACCCACCCACCCACCCACCCACCCACCCACCCACCCACCCACCCACCCACCCACACACACACACACACACACACACACACGCGCACTTGCTTGACGTGGATGATCACATATCATCCAAGAGGGCACATGGCTTCACTTAGTGACAAGCTTGTACCTTGGGAACTGCTTAAGTCCTGAGCTATTGGACCAAAAAGTCTGAACCTTGTCTGGGTTGCGAAATCTGCTCCCCTGCTAAGAGTTGAAACTGTTGGTGGTTTGATGGAAAACCCATTAGTTGGCAAACAAAATAAATCAAGTCCTAACATCCAAGCAAAATGCACCAAAGTGTTGTTTGCCACCAAACTGCTCTTCGCGCAAAGCTTAGGGACTCAGGGACAAGAGCCCTGCCTGCTTTTTGCTGGGGTCGATGCTTGCCAGGCCCCAAGAAAATTTCCATAGAGCCCACCGGGGGTTCCGGGGGTCCGAGTGAGACCCGGAGACCGCGGGGTTTGCCGCCCGCCTTCGCCTTTCCCCTTGCCCTTGCCGCTCTCCACTTGCACAAAGGCGTTGCTGGAGACCTCGCCGCCGGCGAACTCGCAACCGGTAGTCCGGGGGCTGCAAGCTGGAAAACAAACAACCCTTGCAAATGAGCGACCAAGACTCATTGACTTTGAGTCAATGTTTGTACATAATGTGATATTTTTAAACATAGTTGTTACTCTTGGTCCTGCAGTAGCTTGAGGTTAGAATAAGGGTACCAACTTTTTTTGCTCTGTAGTCTGTTTTAGTTGGGGAACCCTCCCAACCAAAAAAAAGGTGAGAAAGGGCACCACTGGGGGACCTAGACAAACAACCCTTGCAAGGGGTTGGATCATCTTAACCTCAAAAATGGAAGGCTGGAGTCTGACCGACCCTCCCATTTTTGGGAGATCGTGCGAAAGGGGCAGCACGTGCACCCATCCTTGTTGGTGGAGGATAGACAATCAGTACTTTCATTCAGGCCAAAGTTCGAGCAGGGAGCAGCGAACCCCCAACAAGCAGCTGTTCAAGGGAAGCAAGGTCAGTTCGACAGCAACCTGGTGTTTCGTTTGCAACTCACCCCAAAGGGTCCATGCCAAGTACCACATATTTCCGGATTTGAGGAATCCGTGTTCGACCAAAACCCAACTTGAACCAAACCCGAAACCGTACATTTGTGGTACTTGAAGTGGACCCTCTGGGTAAAGAATAAAAAATCGGCCCAAAGAACCAAAGGACAAGACACGCCGAGGTGGAATGGTCCCGTCCTGCCATGGCTGACATTGTGCGAAGGGCGTCCACCCAAAAAGGGGTTTGGGTGGATCGTCCGGCAAAAGGGGAAAATGAGAGCGCGAATCAATCGATTCAACTGGTCAAAGGGTTTCCATGGTGCCAAGTGCTCCATCCGTGAGCCCTGAAAAAACACCCAGGGGACTGGAGCACGTCTATAGTGACCTCTTGCTTGCAGCTTCAGAAACCCGAAGCAGAAATGGGAAGGGAAGTCTGCGCCAAAATGAACGCTGAACGCTCCACTTGTAACTGGCTGCACCCTCAGCAATGGAAATACGGCGGAGATGACCTTGAACCCCCGTGTTTCAGCTTCCCGCGAGCTGGTGGTTTCGATTTGTTTTTTTGGTGGCTAAGGACTGGTACTCCCATTTCTACAACAACCAGGGGTTCAAATCCGAATCTAAACCAATTCAAACCACCAACTAAGGCTTACCTGAGTGTCTGGGCTCCCGTTCAACCCGGTGGGTTCAAACAAACCACCTATCGCGCCTGCGTCTTCACCTGCGCGCCACCTTCCACAAAGGCATCTTTCTGGAACCTGCAGGGGTCTCCGATGTGTTCTTTTTCTCTCCAACATCCGAGGTTTCCCCGTTCTTAGTGAGTAGGTTATACCCACGGATGTAACTGGGGAAGCTGTGATTAAACACCTGCTAACCATGGTCATAACCTACTTGCCAAGCGGTTTGAACACCGAAGTTCCGCTTCCCCATCCCCTCGGTTTCCAACGAAGGCTTCCCGATGTTTCCCCCTTTTTGCCACTTTCATGTTCGCTTCGTGGGCAGGGAACCCCCGAAAAATCTGCGCTTCCCACTCTCGGAGTTCAGTCTCGGGCTGGGCTATTGGGCTTCCTGAACCCTCATAATTCCCTTTGAAATTGTTTTTTGCCGCAACAACTCTTGGGTGAAATCGTGTTTTATGGGCAGTTTGAGGGTTCAGGTTGGCGGTTGTCCTGTTGCCCATGGGACTGTATCAAACCAAACCTCCTGTTGCGAATACCGGTTTCTGTCACAAGGGCAACAACCAAATGCCCCAAACAGAATTACTATGGGGTCTGCTTGTCTTTGAGGGTGCTCGTTTTGGGGTTGAATTCAAGAGAAACCAAACAAGAAGCCTATTTTGAGACAAACCCCGTTCTCTACGGGCCATGTTCCGCTTTGCCAGGTCTTCGGCTTCCCCCGAGATGGCCGTAAGGTCCAAACCGCAAGCAGCCCTGGAGCAAACCCCGCTCCGAGCGCAAAGCCGAGCTCGGCCCTCGAAATGGGCCACAAGTTTGTGGCCTGTCAGTGGGGAGAAGGCGCGATCAAGCTTGAAGACATGGTGGCGCATGGAAGCTCCCTATATTTTGAAAAACACCCCCACCTGGGGCACACTCACCGTTCATGGGCCAAAAAGGTGATGTTCAAAACCACCAAACATGGAAATATAGGGACTCCTGTTTAAATATCTAAGAGTTTTCTGAGGACGCTTGGTGCTGGGCCAACGGACTGTTTGGTGAGAAACAAGAAAAACAAACATGTCCAGCACGGACTAATCAACCAGGATGAACACAAAGGCGTTTCACCCGAGAATGAAGGCTTCCCTTGAATATATACTTTTTCTGACTCACCCTCCCCTTTACAGCCAGAGATTGAAAGATCTGACCAAGCGGAGCCAATACAAAGCTTTTGAATGGAAGATGTTGGAAGCACATACCCCTTAAGTTCGTACAGACTTTGTACGGGACCCTTTAAAACAACCCAGACAGGGCACCACGCCCTAAAGAAGACACTGGCAACCGGCAGGCGTGACCATTCCCTTTGAAACGAGTCAAGGACCTCACGCGCCGCCCCGGCCTTGGCCCGTCGTCATCCCTGTTGTTGGAGGTCTCCACACCTGGCGACACCCAACAACTCTCCACACTTCGAATCCGATCCGAAGTCGGGATCAAGCCTTCTGTCACAAGAGCTGCAAAATCGTTCTGCACTTCCTCAGACTAACATGGAAGCTCCCAAAGGGCCTAGGTCCTGGGAGCTTCCATGCTAGTCTGCGGAGGGTAAAGGGACAGCTTGCCACAGTGCCAAAAGAGCCCCACGCGCAAATGTCACCATGTTCTGCTTGGAGTCCAAAAACTGGGTCATTCTTCTCATTCTCAAACTGGCACAGAGGGAATCCACATGGAAGCTTCATGATACAATCACTGCAGAAATTACGCCATGAAGGTTGTGTGAAAAAAAGAAGCAATTTACAAGTTGAAACACTTGCAAGACCAACCCATTGAGTTGTTAATACCATGAGCTAACTCATTTCGAGGAATTATGGGGATGTTAACCATTTGAATGGGCACCTCCAAGCTGGTTGGGATCCCTTGGCACACCATAACGGTTTTGGATTTGGTAGCGGATTCGTCAGATGCAGACAAATCAGGCAACTATGAGGTATTAATGTATTGCAAGCAAGCCAACCACACAAAAGCATGACAATTTATGGAGAGGTTGCCTGTTCCAACACTTGGAATATGGCAGGAGCATCCTCCGTACCAAGGAACCCACTGGGACTGTGGATCGACGAACCAGGCAGCTGGCCAGGGCACGCAACCATCCACATATCTAGTGCTACCTTCCATTTCCATTCTTTCCAGGGATCCGAATCTTTCTAGAAAACCTCCTTGGAAACCCAGGGGAAACGGATCCGGTTTTTGAAAAGAACGGCTGGAAAGGATGGACAAGGAAGCAACCCTTAGAACATAGATGCGTCAACTAAAACAAAACAAAAAACACGGCGGGCCTCGGCATCTCAAACAAATTTCTGGCACCTGTCGGTATCATACACAGACCCAGAAGCTCCGGGAAAGGGATGCGAAATCCTCGAAGCACTCGCTCAGTTCAGTGACCCTGGACAAAAAGGGATCACCCTTTGGGCTTGGACCATTTTAGGGCAGCCACCAAAAACAAAGTTGGAAAAAGAATTGGGGCCACTGAACAACTGAGCTCATTTGCCCAGATGGCCCCAGGAGAAAAAAACGAGAAACGAATACTTCAGCTGTTGGGTGGCCATGACAACACTGGGCTGTCCAAACTCATCCCCTGCTCAAAGAATATGTGTTGCCGAGCTTCATGGAAAAACTAAAGCCTAACAACCTAAGGGACGGCTGGGAACCGCCACGTGAAAATGGAACCAAAAGGTCGGATCCGGTCGATTCGCTCTGGACAAACTGAGATCATGAAAAAGTTGTCCGCCAGCTTATTCCCCAAACTCGGTTGCTTTCCGCTCCCCTGCTATTTTCTTTTTTATAACTTTTAGCCGCTCTCATGGGAAAAAAACAATTAGTTGGCAAGAAAAAGCTACAGTCCTAACATCCCTTGGCAACATGCACCAAGGCTTCCCCCCGAGCCTGAGTCCCAAAGCCCGTTTTCCGCCTTCGCGAGTCCGGGGCAAGATACCCAACATTAAACCACCAAGTGCTGCCAGTCAACAGGAATCCTTACATGATACACCTGAACATTGCCTTGTAAGTGGTGGTTATTTTGGTGGAAAAAGCATGTTTTTCAATTGCGTAAAAATGTATCTTTTAAGGAGCCCTGGTGAATGTTGAGGGGTTCTAAGCAGAACCTGTTTACTGATGAGCCAATCTGGGAAGCTTGTTTTCTTTGGTAGGGTCCTTGTTTCAAGCACCAATTCTGGCTAGGACACAAGGACAGGTCTTTTACATCATGTAAAAATACCTTGTTGCCTATTGGGGTTCTGGGTAATATCTAGCACTCCATTAGTCTTCTTGGTCACAAAGCAAATCCAAACCGGCGTGACTGAAGAAATGTGTGTCTTTGTTTTTGGGACCCCCCTCCCCCGCAAAAGGGTCCTTTTCTTGGTTGCTCTTGACCCCTCCGCAACAAGTTTTAACTTTTTGTGGGCTTAGTGGACACCCCCCTTGATTTCAACCACAAAGTCACAGTCTACAGATCCAAGCCATTAGCTGTCAAGCTTCAACACCAAAAAGCGGTGGTCCCTCAAAAAAAGAGCGCGACCCAAAGCGTGCGGGGCGGACTGAGGGTCGCCTTGCCCTTGCGCCATTCCGCCCTCTCCTGACACGAGAGACCGACGTCTTGGCCACGCTACAAACTTTAGGACCCCCGAAACAGCCAGGGTTTGAGCACCCCAAACCTTTCTGGGGTCAAGCTCTGCTTCATAGCTGATCTTCTTTACTCCTAATTCAATCAAAAGAACCTTTTGGAGGAGAACTTCTTTGATGCTGATTCAAAGGAACAAACTTTTGGAGAAGACTTGTTGCTAGGGCTGAGACGCAAAGCGTCAGTTCTTCAAGCAGCACCCGCAACCATTGCTTCTTGGGCAGCAGGTGGGATACTTGGGATATATGGGTCGCGCGCATTTGGGGGATTTGCCGTGGGAAAACTCAGTTGGAGGGTGGATGGAGTTCCACGACAAGTTTGCATGTTACGCCGAGAACGGGTGGGGTTGCATTTTCCCAGCTACCAAACTTTAGGGCTTCCAACCAGGGTAAATGCAGTGGCCCGCAAAAGAGGACTCCACCTCTTTGGGGAATGTCATGTGGGTGTGCATGATTTTTTGGAACCCCCTTTTGGTTGGTGTTAAAGGCAAGCCACTCGCCTTAGAAAACCGCCTTTCGCGCTGCCTTTTAGAGGCCCCATTGAAGGCCTCGAGCGCGGAGTTGAGATCGGGCTCTGAGGCTCAAAAAGTCCAGTCCCTGTGTGTTGCTGTACTGAAGCTTGTGCAACCTTACGTTTGTTGCACTGGCCTTCCCACAAAGCTCAAAGTCCATAAGTGCAGGGAGTGATCAAACCAAACCAACCCTTTGTTCGATAAGAAAAAGTAGCTTCAGCCTTAAATTGCGACCCATACTCTACGCAACCTAGGTTGCAAACTGGGCCTTTGCAGCAATCCAAACCTGGCACAGGGATCTACCCAACATCCTTGAAGCAACGCTGTTCATCCGAACCTGTGGCTGCAACTGTCAGCACTTCAACATGTTTGAGCGTGCCTCATTTGCCGAAACTAAACACGCCACTGAAAGTCAGACAGTCAGAACCACAGACATTGAACCACCTCCATGTATGTTTCTTCTTTTCTGTTTTCGCCGTTTTTTTTTGGGGGGGTTTTCCGGGGGTGGGGGGGGGGGGAGGGTACCCTTTCGGGGGATGCTTTTGTTGTGGGAACTCCGGAAACCTGGGCTTATGGTTCCAGGGGAACAATCTCCCTATTCTATCCAGAAATCCCGAAGAAGCAGCTTCGGAAAGAATGATTGTAAAGGATGGAAAAGGAATCAACCCCAACCATTCTGGGTTAAAATTAAAAATCATTTGTCAACTGGAAAGTATTTTTTTTTGACAGAATCATGCTGCATGGTTGAGCTGATGCTTTGTGCGGGACCACGAATGAGTGTGGCAGTATCTTTGAGTGATACCAACATGGGAAATCAGCAGGACCTTGGTATCACAGAAACTTGCACGGTGTAAGTCGCATTTTAGGCAACAAACACCATGAATTGAGTACCAGAAGGACACATCTTGTCTGAGTTGAAAATGGCATGAAGCTAGCAACCAAAAGGAAATTCAGAACCAATTTCGGGAGACACCCCGGTGCCCTGAAACCTCTCCCCCTCTAATCCCGGTGTTTTCACTCGCCTCATCGAACTGCTTTCGATGAGCAGTGCCGCGAGGAGCCTGCGTGAACCCACCAAGAAAACCCAACCTGATTTCCCATTTAACCGGATTCAATGGAAGTTATTTGGATGAAACTCCGTCGGAACCCCAAGATAACTACCGGCCACAACTAAAAATCATACCAGGTACAAACCGTTCTCGCAACCAAAGGGGCCCAGCATCGTTTCACATTCAGACGGAGGGGTGAAAGCTGGGGAAGAAAAACGGCCAAAAGAGCCCAACACCCGATGTCCCATTTGGCTCCGATTAGATGCGTAGTGGTTTAAAGGGGAGTTGCTGGGATGAAAAGGTCGGAGCCCTGACTTGATTGACTCCAAGCATTCTCTACACTTGCTTGACGTTGGAAGCGGAGCAAAAAATATATCAGATTTTGGCAGTTCAGTGGATTTGGATTTCAACCACTAAACCACAATAAGCAAAACATGTAAAATGTTTCCCAACAACAACCATGTACACTCAACCTTCTTTGAAGAGAACCCAACTCACCTTTGAGTTTGTGCTGTCTGAACTCGAGGAATTGGACATGATGTCAGGGGGCACAACTAAAATTCATGTGGAAAAAAACGTCCATGAAGGGAAAGAACTTGACATGTCTAAAGGTCATGAAGCCAGAGCCAAACACGTCCCTAGGGTTGATTCCATCCATTGACCCATCCTTCTCTTCAGACACCCATCATCTTCCCTATTGCACTTGCCCATCTGAAAAGAATGACCCCGCAACGGAAAAGGAGGGAACAGGTCTTGTGCACCCCGAAACCTACTTCAATCTCTTTGCTAGGCTTCGTTTCGTGGAGAATCAAGTGCTCAGCGAGTAATGGCGGTGTAAATTGCGAGCCCCGTGACCACGTCCGTCTCCGCTTCGCTGGCCGGCGTTGCGGTCTCGCTCGTGCTTGTCGCAGGCGTTGCGTCTCCGCCTCTGTGAGATCCACGTGCTCTAAGAGTAGTGAAAGAACATCTCAAGCTACAGTGCTCCCAACACCTGCCAAAGAAATTCTAAATCCAAAGCTAAAAGACCAATGCCGGCCCCAGGGCCCCCAGCCACTGCTTTTGGGAAAGGTAAGACTGCAACCGCAGCACCACAAAGGGCCGCAGCTTGTGATTCAAACACACGCCAGCTAGATTTGTGCTGCTTCGTCACTTGTGTTGCTTGTAGGATAAAGTTTCGGACTCGCCTCTAGTAAGCAGAAGCATCCCACAACCCTGGCTGGGCTGGGCTCGGAACCCAACATGGCTGAGACCCAACTAAAGCTTTTGCCAATGTAAAGGGGCATCACACAACAATATATGCTTGTTTGCGGGCATGCTTACACGGAGAATTGGCAATAATAGCACACCTCTTTGCTCTTTGCAGCCCGCCAACAACTATGCGCCAACAAAACCAAACAACTAACACACAGGGACTGTGCAGCAAAATGTGAGGCGGTTGAGCCCAACACTTCTCCCTTGCCATTTAAGACTCTCTTGTTCATTTCTTTGCAGACCACCCTCTAGCATAGAATGCCACGCACACTTTCATTTCAGGGCAAAGCAAGCATTTTCAATTAATGACAAGAACATAAACCAATACTTCACCCGCCAAAGAGGCTCGCAGTAGAGGATAAATTCTTACCGAGTAGGTTGGCCAAACTCTGAACTTTGATTTGTTTTTTGCCAAAACGGTTTCAGACCCCAAGCGCTGCAAGTCCGCAAACCTGGGAGGCAAGCAAACATGATTGCCACTAGATGGGTTCAGCCACCAGGATATGGACCGCAGGTCTGGCAGGTCTTAGTCCTTGTTTCGATTTGCCAGGCTACATTTTGGGGTTGCCCAATTCTTGACCACCACACCCTGCCCTAATGCCCCTTCGCCTCAGACCTGGCTGTGGAAACCCAAGTGACTTCGACCCCATTTCGGAGGTCGAAAACCTGAAAGGTCTCAGCCTTTTGAGCTACCTCAGGGAACCCGTTTTTGAACACCTGGGTGTCTCGTTGTAGGTGACCCCCCCAAAAATGGATTTCGGTGTTGCTATTGGTTTCCCTTTCAAAGAAGGGTAATTACCGCCTCTTACTCAGAGGCTTCTGAGCTCTCAATGGAAGACCCGACCCCTCCATCAGACACCTCGCTTCGGTGGTTGGTCTCAAAAAAACAGGTTGTAAGGCCCTAAATCAATCGAATTGGAGCCTCTGGGTAAAAGAAAAACAACACACCCACATGGCTGTGGGTCAAAACCCTGTAACCCTGGTAAACATCAACATAGCTGGCCAATGGATGTTCATCCACCCCAAAATGGAGCCATAGGTTATGCCGCATGGCCACATACATGAGCATAGGTGTCCTTCTTTGAAAAATAGATGGTCCTGGTAGATATTTGAAACACCAGGTAAACCCGGAATCGCCCTCTATGTCTTAAACAAACCAACCAAAAAGGACCCCTATGCGCATGAGATGCACCATGCTGCCCGCATCTGCCATGGAACCGATCCATTCGCCTTCTTGGGATCGAAGTCCACCCAGGGTGGGGCGCCCTCACCTCACACGCATCGCCCCACCTCTTTCCCCCCGCAAAACCCGATCCGTGGCGGAAAGGTGTGCTGCTTGGTTTCCCGAAGGGTGTCCTTTGGGTTTCAGGGCTTCGTTGTCCGCAGGAAGAAGGCTGACCTTGTGCTTTTTGTTTCTCTTCTTTCTGGATGAATGCCAGCAAAATATGGGCCCAACGAAAAAAAATGGTGACCTTGTGTTTTTCTCTTTTCTTTTCTTGGATGAATGCCAGCAAAATATGGGTCCAACGGAGAATCTCAGAATCTCCCATTTCACTGATGATAGGGCCATCTACATCCCTGGGCTTTTGTGATGGTGGCCAAAAAGAAACGGGTTCTCAATATTTGACTTGTGTGGTCTTACCCATCAAGATGTTTGTCAACTTGACAACTTGAAGTGAGTTTCCGTTGGTGCCTTTTCATGCATGCTTTCCATGCCGAATTATCTCAATGGGGTTCCCGGATCGGCCAAGCAAAATAGCCATACTGGTTGTTTGCCACTAAAACGGTCCAAACCGGCAAAGTGTTCGGTCCATGAACAAACTTGGGGGGGTTCCCCGGTCTTCCTGTTGGCTCCCCTCTAAAACCACCCAAACAAAAAAACAAGGTACCAACTCAAAAGACGATGAGCCGCCCAAATGGCAATGGGTCAAAAGCCCGGTTACCCCCAGTGAACATCCCAATCCCCACTAAAATAGGTTCTGAAATGGGTGGTGCACCGAAAACCCCAAAATGGGATCCCAAAACGGTTTTGACCACAGCCAAATATTTTTGCATCCATCTCCAAAAAACCCCATCCCCGAGCTTGTGGCCTCAGGGCGCCCTAGACCTCTAGGCCTCTAGGGCTGCAGCCGTCCACCGCGTGCTTCTTGATGCCGTCCGTCCTCCGGCCAGGGATGTCGGTGGCTCGTCTTTGCAGGTTGCGCCCACCCACCCCCCAAGTGGTCTACTCCTCAGCTCTTGGTCTCTTTTGGCTGGTTACAGGGAACCCAAGAGGAAACCAACTGTTTTAGCGGACCGTTTTTAGAAACATCCAGTTGGAACCTGGCTTTTTGCGCGGTCGGGGCAAATTCCCAACAGGGCCACATGAAATTTGATCAAAATTCCAGGCCCCAAGCTTGGATGGTAGCTTTCCCAGTCACTTGGACATGCCATGGGTTGCATAACCTATGGCGATCCCATGGGGTGGATGAACATCCATTTGCCACCTATTTTGACGTTTATTTATGAGGGGTACATAGTTTTGACCCACAGCCATAGCATATTTTTTTGGTTTTCCCCCATGGTCATCCCATGTTTGCCGGACCTTTTGCTCCACTCACCGACCCAAGTGACAATCTCCTCCACAGCAGGCGCGTCTCTTTCACCTCCTTGTCAGCCTGCTTGCACTCCGAATCGAATCCCAGTTCTGTCGATGCCAATGCTCCAAGGGGGTTAGAGGCAATTCAAGTTGCAGGTTGAGTCGGAACATCATTCCAGGAAACCCTGAAACGAGTGGGATCATTCTTGAGGATGCAGGGACCTTCTTTGGGGCGAGGATGCATGGATGCGCTTCTGTTTTAAATTGGTTTTGAACTCGAAAAAGTGGGAAATGAGCCAATGCAAATCTGCAGCTGCCCTGCCAACCCAGGGCCTCTTCTCCATGATCAAGGATCCTTCTGCTGAAATTGCCAAAAGCTGCAACATGGATCTGTCTCTTGTGGAGGGTAACCCCCCCCCTCCCTGCGGGGTCCCAACAGGATGAAGATGATGGGGAATCAACCCTCCCCTCCCCCCGAAACACCCAAACGCAAGCAAATCCGAATTGGGCGACCATCAGGGTTTAATTCTCGTTTCTACTAATTAAAGGTTCTATAACTCATGATGGTCCTAACGATTTAGAACGAAAAGCACGAGTTTGTCTAGCAGGACACTTCCAAAGAGGGCGGGTTGCCTTTCTGTTCCCTTCCAACTTTAATGCGAGCCCGAAAAGGGTACGGCCACCGGCATCGGGAGCGTACCTAGAGTCTCCTTCTGACCCTTTAAACATGGGGTCCTTACCCAAAATTACATTTTCCTAGGGGTGATGGAGACTCCAGGTACCCGGAAATATTACCAAGAACGTGGAATTTGGTTTCTTCAAAACGATTAGTGTCTGTTGCACGAGCAACGCAAGCTGAACAATGCACTAGGTCCTCCAGACTTGAGAGGTTAGAATAAGTTGGTACATGGTTTCTTCTTCGTTGTCTATTTTAGTAGGGGAACCCTCCCAACCCCAAAAAAGAAACGGTAAAAGCTGGCACCAATTGCTGGGGGACCTAGTACATGCGGATCCTTTTTCCTGCCTTTTCGCCCACCTCTCCACGTACTAAAGGCTTTTCAAACAGGCCCCAAACCTTCCGTGATTCATTTCGCAGGGGGGTCATAGAACATCTAGTTCTCACCAAACCAACCTTGAAAGGACACCTGTGGGTGGGGTACGCTGGTTGGAATTGGGTATCCCATTCACAACTGGGCAGACAATCTAAACCTGAAAATGTACCAACCTAGTCCAACAAAACGATTTGCAAAGGCAACGCGACACCCCGTTGATGTCCTTTTCCAGTGAACAAAAAAATCATCCCGTCTAAAGTGTAAACTAAGGCAGTTTTGCCCAAGCCAGAAAAACACATGATGCAAGACCTTGTGCAAGCCATTTATTCGCAAGTTAAAGGCTGCCAACAAGCTGTCAAACAAGCCATTAAGCCCTTCAATTTGCGTAGCTCTCCTGGAAAAAGTCCAGTAGTGAAATGGATTGCATCCACAACCAACAGAAGAAAAACACTATATTACTACCAAAACCTAGATTTGTTTAAGCCTCCTGGAAAAATACAAGCATATATATATATATATATATATTATTCCCTGTAAAACCAAGACACGCAAAGAACAAACATCCTTAAGAATATGAAACAGCCAACTGAAACATTTCCCAGTGAGCGCCTTCCAATTCGCGACGAGGCCGTCAACGTAGCCCCCCAGGACCTGGCCCGAATCAAACTTTCGCTTCGGCGTGGCGCAAACTTCTTCCTTGCCATCGGCGGAAATTCGAGCCGCGAAGGAAATTGCTTCCATTTGCCTAAGCTGCCTGGAAAAACTGAAAAATATGTCCAGTAGTCATGGATTCCCTTTAAAACCAACAGGGGGAAAAACAAAAAAACATATTCTTAAGCAAATGGAAGATTAGAAGATGGGTGTGTCGGTTTTCATCCGGGAGATCCCTACAAATTGGTGGTGTTCCTCTTGGTTTAAAAACCACAAAATCACGGGACCATCAAAAGAGACAGACCCAAATATGCCCAAAGATTAACCATGGACAGAAACAAAGGCTGGATGGTGTGTCTGTTCCGAATCATTGGCATGACGGGACTCTTTGATTTCATAAAGCCTTAGCGAGCGCACTTTCCAAAGGATCCTTGTTGAAATTGTAAATACGGAGGTAAACACGCCCACATTTGCCCATCCTCCGTATCAGGACCGTATCATAGAATGAGGGAACCTTGAGTAAAGGACCCTCATGGGCGAGCTCGTATTTTCCCTATGTGCACCCTCTGTACCATTTACAAATCCATGTAGATTCTCCCCTGGAAAGGTCTGATTACTTGGGGCCATCTCCGGGTTACAACAAAACAACATGTTCAGATTCTGCTTCCAACTGTGGATGGACAAATTCCTGCGCCAGTTGGGATGGATGAAGCTTGAATTGAATAGTGGTTAATAAACCACCTATAAACTGCTGTGGGATCGCAGTACTTAGTCTTACCCTGAAAACACTTCAAACGTGTGTCTTTCTCGAGCGTACCCCTTTTTGGTGATTTTGAAGCGAAGGCAAAATGAAAAGATGCACTCCTTTATTTATGTGTTTTTTTTCATTTTTTTTGGGGACTGATTGAAAAAAACACAGACACCGTACATTGGGGAGGCTCCAATCGTTGAAATCTGTGCTTCAAAGCTGTTAAGCTAGGGCAAAACCAAATGGCACCTGGGGGTCGTTTGGTCCTTTTGGGGCTGGGGTTGGTTTGATGCATCTCTCAGAGGCTTCAACCGTCGTGCTTTGCCTCCACCGCGTTCGGGACCAAGAGCACGTGCCCGTTTTGAACACCTGAGGATGCAACCTGCCTTCTGGGAAAGGGTTTGTGTGGGAGGTCCTTCTTTTTTCATTCCTCTAGTCTTCCCATGAAAAAGGAAACGGAATCATACATATATAGAGATCTCCAGGGGTTACCCACCTCCCCCATTTTGAAGGGGGAGGGATACCTGACGCTCTGAGCGCCCAAACGGCGCACCCATTTCTTGAGGTGAAGAAGGACATGGACATCTCGCCGCCAAATTCGCCAGGCGAGGTTCCCAGAAGACACTCAGGGCTGGCGAGGGAAAGTTGTTGATGGATCATAATTTTGAAGGAGAGGTCTCGGAGTTGACAGGGCTGGCTCCGATGGTTCTAAAATTCTAAAATCTGCCCGATGCCTGATCCCCCGCTAGTGACGAACTTTTAGGGGGTTAAATGGAAGCTACCACTAAAAAGCAAAAACGCCCACAGGCTAAGGAACCGGATGGCTGGCTTCGCCACCAAGAAACTAGGAACATGCTGCACTGGACTTGCCTGACTGGGCCGGAGGATTTCTTCTCAAAGGGACCCGGTGATGTCCCTCTGGTGGGAGGGGTAGTTGATCTTGGCTTGAGACAGGTCACCCGATGGGTGAAAAGAAGCCAAATTTTGTTTGGTCACGAAAATTTGAGGGAAAAAACAAAAACATCTGAAACCCACAACTCAGTTGACAAGGTCTCTATTCGGCGAAAGAGGCACTTCTAGGCACAACAATTGGTTCAAGCATACTAATCAGCAGGTTCTTCTCTTGAGTAGATAACTGTTTGCTTCTTTGTTGGGGGGCTCCGCCTCTCCGACTCCGACTCTTTTCACAATTCCCTTTGGCCTCCCTTTTAACAGCAGGAAGATCACTGACGTGGGAACCAACTCTTCGCAGCTCCTTGGACTCCAGGATCCCATTTGCTTCAGTATTTGTTTTCTTATCTTTCCCTGGTTGTAAAGGGGAATCTATGACTACTGGAATGAACATATTTTTTTCAGGGGGCTTAAGCAAATGGAAGCAAGGCTCCGGCGCAAAGGCTCTTTGCTGGTGGAGTAGAGCAGCAGCTTGGTGCCCGGCCTGGGGGCTGGGTCTTGGGCTGTTGGCCCCCAAGAATTGGGCCCCGGGTTGACTTTTTGTTCTTTTTGTTGTTTAAAGGAGCCACCCATATTCAGGCTCCCTGTGATTGGTGGTTCCACCAATCACAAGAAGAAGTGAGGGTTCGGGCCGGGGGCGATCTGTTCATAGGATCCGACCTCCGCCCTATCCCCTTGGCTGCCTCCAACTAAGACATTCACTTGCTTCCAGTCTCGAATAGGGAGGTTGGCATGGTTCGGTTCCTACAACTTCGGGTCTTGACCTTCGGTTTCTGAACACTGGATACAGAAAAAAGACAACATCGGTGGCCACAAAACAGACACAACGAGCAACCGATTTGGAGCTTCACCCAGTCAGACCCGCTGAATGTCTATGGAAAAGCTGGCCACTCTTTTGCTGGTGCTCAGGGAATGACCCAGAGTTCGGGAATGAATCGGAAGTTCCCTTGAAGGAAACCCATAGGGCATGGGTCTAGAGAGCATGTTTTCATTCCCTACGAACCAGTAAGTCGTTTGAGCAGTTGGTTTTACAGGGAAACCCCTCGGAGGAAGCAGCCTGAAGCAAGCCCGCTGGTCTGGGTTCATTACCTTGGGCAATGAGAGATGCGCGCTTGGCTCTTTGGATTCTGAATTCTCCGGCTAATTCCAGAACTGAAAACACGAAGATTGGCGCATATCATATAGTCAGTGTACTTGGCCCCTCAAATTACACGTTGTTTTTTCTTTGTTGCTCTCTATGTCTGCCATGGGTCCAGGTGCCCTACACGAAGAAAAGGGAAAAAAACAGTTTTGGTTTGGAGACCCCCCACAAAACCGGCGGAAAAATGTCTCGATCAAGTCAAAATTTGGGCCAACGGGCGGCAAATGCACACCCAAGGACTTCACCGAGTCGAACTCGATCGCCTGATAGACACGGAGCCTATCCAGTGCTTGTACATACCCCTTTGACATACCCCTTGGGTAAATGAACCCAAACGGCTTGCTGATGTTCATACCCCTCTCCCCAAAAGGGGTATATACCACCTTTATAAGGGAGCCAAGGGGTATGAACAAGGGGTATGTACTTCCACCCTTAGTCTAGGGTGTTTCTGAATCCGGGCTCAATCTTACTAAGTTGGTTGAACACCACTTAGTAGGTAGGTTATAACCATGGTTGTAAGGTGACTAGCCCCAGTTCCCCCCACTACAGTACTTAATGTTGACCCCGATCTAAATCAACCAGTTTTTCTCTCTTTTTTTACCGAGGTTCGGTCAGTATGGGTGGGTGGGTCTTTCTTTTTGTCCACCCCCCTTTCTGTGAAACAGGTATTCAAAAGATACATCTGCTGAACACCAAACAAAGCCTCTGAATCAGATGGTACAGGGCGGCCCGGCTATCCTTAAAGGGACCCCTTTTTCAGCGCCACGTCTAAGCTGTGGTAATAAGCACCTCTAAAGGCTTTGGACCGTCCCTCTGAATGCATCTTGGGACTTCGCTGGCCAGCCACACGTTTTTTTTCACTGGGGTCAACACAACTTACTTGGCACACGCAAGTACGGAATCAAGAACTCACTTGCTGAGTGGATGGCCCAAAAAAAAACAAAAAACTTTACATTTACCACTAAAATGGTCTTCCGAAAAAAGAAAAAAAAGTAAGAAAAAAAAAGTTCATGAACTCAGGCAGTGAGAGGAAGGTTTTGTTGGCAAACTGATTGAAACAAAAAAAACCTCAAAGGAAACCACGGGATGCTTCATAGGCTACGGTCATTCCCTCCTTTCTTGATGACCATGCCGACAAAAAAAGAGAGAGTATATTGTCAAAACTCCTATGAAGGGCTTCATGAACATCCCGATCAACCCCAAATAAAGGGGTCTTGTGACCATGGCTAAAACAAATGTACATGTGTTGTACATGTGTATATATACATATATGATATTATCCCCCTTTTCAGCGTAGCCATGAGGTTTCCTACAGACACATGCTGCTTGAAAAGATGATGTCAACAAAACGGGATCAACAGGACCAAACCGGTCACACGGGGCTCCCTATGCTTACCCTGAGAAACTTTGCCCCAGCCCAAAAAGGTGATGCGTAAAACCACCCCTTCATGGGAAATATAGGAAAACCATGAACTTTCCGCCAATCTAGTCATTAAAAACACAGCCTTGCCATAACAAAACGACCTACTAAAATCTGGACCAACTCTGGGGCACGCCAAAAGCCATGCTTTTTGGTTCTGTTGCATAATATTTCGCCAAGCTGGGTACCCCAAAATGGTGGCTGAACCCTGGTGATGTCCCTTCAAACCTGGAAAGAGTACCAAGCAAAAAGCAAGGCTGAAAAGAGCAACCAAAGGACTTGCCCTAAAACAACAAGTCAAGGAGATTCTCCTTAAGAAATCAAGGAGATTCTCCTTTAAAATACAAATCAATCCCCTGCTGTTTGCGGGCCGAAGCGGCGAACCCGGAGAGTTTCCTGGTTGCTCAGCTTCCTTCCAATTGGTTTCCCATTTCGCCTCAAGAGCCAGGAGTTCAAAGATCGCCGCTGGAGGTTCAAAGGGAAGTGGCTCAAACCCCCCCCCCCCGCTCTTTTGGTGTATTGGCCCAGAAAAAAAAAAAAAGCAATCTCTTCCATTTGGTTAAGCCCCGTGGACAAAAATGTCCGGTAGTGAATCGATTTTCTTTAAAACCAAAATGGGCAAACAAAAGATTTCATGTCAAGCAAATGGAAGGACTCTAAATCAGTACCAATCCCCACTAAAATAGGTTCTAAAATGGGTGGTGAATTCACCTACCCCAAAATGGGATCCCAAAACGGTGTTGACCCACGGCCAAATGAAGGAAACCTGCAAAACCAAGGCCATCTCGGCAAAACCGGCTCGGCGCCTTGAAGCGCTGATCTCCCGCGGAGAGGTCCAAAGCCAAGAGCCGCCACTTGCCGCCCTCAAACTCCTCCTGGAACCTCGGTGTGGCTTGGCTTGTTGATTTGGGAGCGGCTCAAAAAAAGGTACTCAAATGGAACCTGATAGGAGACACGGAGCCTGGGGTGTTTCTGAATCCGGGGTCAACACTCGGTTGCTTTCTGCTCCCCTGCCAAAAGTTTAACCAACTTTTAGTGGTTTAATACGGAAAACCCACTAATGTTGGCAAACAGTTTTACAGTCCTAACATCCCTTGGCAAAATGCACCAAAGTGTTGATTTGGCGAGTTCCTTCGCTTCCTTGCTTTGGTTGGTCTCTTTGGCGAGTTTTTTTGGGTTGCTTTGTTTGGTTGCTTGGTTTGGCTAGTTTGTTTGGTTAGTTTAGTAGGTGTGTTAGTTTCGTTGGTTTGTTTCTTTGGACATTTTGCTTGGTTGGCTGTTTGGCTAGTTTGTTTGGTACATGTACTTGTTGCTTGTTTGTTTGTTTGTTTGTTCGTTCGTTTGTTTGTTCTTTCTTGTTTGTTTATATACTTGTTTGTTTTTGTTTTGCTTGGCTTGGTGGATTCCAGTGTACACAACCAAGACCCTTAGGGCTACTCAAAGCTGGAGGTTGTGACCCTGGTTCAAAGCCGTATTTGGGTAATCCGTTGAATGAGGTTTTCCGGATGCGGACAACACACACATGCTTGTCCTTTGGCGCAAGCTGGAACTCAACGAGCTGGTTCAGGGTCGCCTGATATGGGCACCATGCTTTTGGTAGTTGATCCCCCCAAAGAAAAGGAAACTGATCACGGTTTTTGAGGGAACCGCTTTTCACCTTAAGATTCAAATGGAAACTTCTTGGACAACCGCAAATTTTGGGCATAGTATCCGCTACTTGAACTCAAAGGACTGTATATGCCGTATCAAACACAAACTAGGTTCACTAGGCAATGATGGCTTGATTAATAGAAAAGTATTTTGAAAAACCTCAACAGAAGGCTGATTGGTGCAAGAGGAAGCCCTGGTACGCCCTGGTTCATGGGATCATTAAGCATTTGAGAAGCGCACGAAACCCACCGACTTTGGGTTCTACCAACATGGATATAAAGGTTTTGATGGGGCTCACTATCGTTCTGAACGCGAGAAGTACAGCAAATTACCAAATTTGCCAGGAACCGGTTTTGGGCGTAGCTCATGTCCTTGTACGGGTCCGTTTGCCTTTTGAGGGGCCAACAATAATCATTTACCAAGCAGGACCCTTTCCACCTGAAAGGGATATTGAAGTACTCACATGGGTCACCCAAAGGGCAATTCGACATGCATGAATGCTATGAGGCCCGCAAGCCTTGCGGCCGTTGGCGGTTCTGGAGGTCGTGGAAAACCTCCCTCAATCGGTTGTCGTGCACGGCTCCGGGCCCGAACGCGACTATAAGTGTGGGCTCACTGAGCGAGCTGTCGCCGGCGATCGCCAACAACACAACTTGCAGTGGTTGCAAACCTGCGTGCGGGCTTCACTCCAAAAGGAATCCGTCCCCGGATAAGTAAGGCCGAAGGATGACCCGGACGCCTCATGACTCAAGCGCGGGCTAGCGGGGCTCTCATCGAAATATCTTGGCTCGGGGAACTTGGAGTTCACCGCCCCCAATCCTTCAGCCCTGCTGCAGTACTGAACGGTGGGTGAAATGGACGCCTTGCAAGAAAACCAACCAAAGCAAGCCAAAACCCTAGGGGGACAGCTGGGAACCGCCAAGATGATGTTCACCGAAGGCGCGGGCAGTCATAAACTATTTTGCGAATAAGTCCCCAGAAAAAATAAAGAAAATGAAAAACACAATATTCACAAACTTCCAGAAGTGACATCGATTCCCTTTATTTGAGACCAACAGGGGGCAATCAAAAACACATTCTTAAGCAACTGGAAGCCACAAAAAACGAGGTTAAAAAAAAAGAGAAAAAGGCCGCTTGCTTTTTTTAAAATAAGAACGATGGTTGATTATGGGGAATCACCCCCTAGACCATTAGACAGGTTAGAATAAGGGTACCCGTTTTTCTGTAATTCTAGTAGGGGACCTAGTAAAGGTGGAGGCCTTAATCTGGGCTCAGCCCATGCGGAGCGCCGAGAACACGGTGTTGCCCCTTGGCCCCCCTGCTTCGTGGGTTGAGTGATGTCAGCCACCTGATCGGAAGTTGGCGAAAATCCAACCAGTGCCCAAGGGGGGCAATACTGGCTAGGTCCTCCAGTAGAGAGGATAGAATGAGGGTACCAACTTTTTTCTGTCGTCTATTTTGGGGCCACACCCTCCCCCGAAAAAAGGGAAAACAAGCACTACTGGGGGGCCTAGCTGGATCTCCCAGCTGTTCAGCGACCCTGGTAGAAAAAGGGAGCCCTTTTTGGGGATAACCATTTTTAAGGGAAAGCCACCAAAAAGGGAAGGCTACTGCCAAACTGGGGGGATGGACATGATGCAGGATTTCGCCCGCAAGAACACAGTTCAGCAGCTCAGATTTGTGTATTACACCCTGAGATTACAACCCCATTCTGATTCAATTTTGAGAGAAAACCAGATTACGCTTGTTTGCATGTGCCATTTGCCCGGAATGCGATACACATGCCCTGCCACAGGAATGGGTGCTTTCATGTGCGCAAGATATGGAAACATGTAAGTACCAGTTGGAAGCATGTTCCCTTAACGTTAACAGGGAAACATCGGAGTCTTTTTTTTTGCCCCCACCCCAAAAAAGGGTGGGTTTCCTAGTGAGGTACCAACTCCGAAAAGACAAGCCACGCAGGAGACAACCACTGCAGCGAATCCTATGGCCAGGAGTGGAGTGACTGGGGTGGGAAAAAGGTCATCAAACCAAGGAAGTGACCATGGATCCGGTTTGACCGGTACCCGTTTGTTTCAGAAAATCAAGTTGCACCCTCGGGAAAACGTGGCAATAAAGTTGAATTAAGCGTGAAAAATGGTTGGACACAGTTCCCTGCGTAAATGATGTCCATCACAGGGTATCAGTGGAATGTTTGCCCCTGTGTTTTGAAGGAAAACAGAGTGTCAAAACGGTTCTGACCAGAACATGGCACAACCCTGGCAGAGTAGAAACTTCAGCGGGTGCCGTGATTTTTTTTGACCTAAGCATCTGGAAGGACCCTCCAAAGGCGGGTTTAGGGACCTGCGTTGGAAGGTTTGGACCTCAAACGGGCCTGTTTGAGGACCCGGGACCGGCCGAGGTTTGGTCGCATGTTGTCCTTGGCACCCAATCAAGATGAGCAGAACCGAGCAAACGAAGAAGAACAACAGCGCAACCCTGGTGACGGTACAGTTGCGGCGTCAAGGCTCGGTGACACCCTGCAAAACAAATCAGACTCAGAATCAATGACAACACTCGGAATGAATGACGGTCTGTTTCCCAATGATTGATCGGTTTTCGTGTTGAAAGGGAATCTGCAGCGAAGCCACCCATGCTGTTGTGTTTTGTTGTTGTTCTTTCCTTTTTTTCTCTTGGTTTGTCTTGGGGGGCGGGGGGGTCACATTCTTTGGACACTCTCACACACACAGAAACAACAACTAATCATCATGATAATAAAGTAACCAACAAGAAGTGAGTTGTTTGTTGGTTTGTTGCGGTTTGGTCAGTTGAAGTCTGGAAGCCACCAACGGGGTCCCAGTAGATTTCCATGGGAAGAAAGAATCGGCAACCTCTGCTTTGTATAGTTGTGTTTGTGGGGACACCCCCGGCCCCCTCCCAAACAAGTTGAAACTGTAGTTTGGCTTGGCGGTTTGGTTTTTTGGGGCTGGCGTCTCACTTACCATCTACCAGAACCAGAGGTTTAAATCCAAATCCAACCAATCCAAACCAACCAAGCGCCTGGGAGTCTTTTCTTGGAGTTTCGCACGTCCAACGGTTCTCCTTCTGGTTCACAAATGGAACCGACGACATAGGTGTCCTTATAGGGGAAATAGATGGCCCTGGTATGATCAAACCACCAGGCAAACCAGGAATCGCCCTCTATTCTTCTAGCAAAAAAACAACAAAAAGGACAGCCTACGGGAACCGAGCCCGGCCGAAAAAAACGCCAACGCCTTCTGCAGCTGAACCAGGTACTGCCCAGGCCTGGATCGAACTGCGAAATGAAGCCACAGCTTGCCTGTTGTCAGGGGCCCGAGAGGGGGCCCCCATGGTCAGACCCTTAGCCTAGGTCCTTCAGTAGTGAGGTTGAATAAGGCTACGCCTTTTTTCTGTAGTCTATTTTGGGGGAAACCTCCCCCCAAAAAGGGTAAACACTGGGGGACCTAGTAGCCCGTAATAGACCCTATTTGTTGCCGTTAGCCTCTATTGGGATTGGGATTGGCCCTATTGCGGGGCCCTTGCCAACCATAGGATTTCTGATTGGTTGACCTAGCCAAATATGAATCCATGCCTACGTGAATACGTAATGTCTATATAAAAATATACGTTTGTATGTGGGTGTTAAAGTAAGCGGGATCCCCAAAGTGAATTTCGGTGTCCTTTTGGTTTGTCGCTAAACCAACCCAAACGGGTACCCTCCAGAAAAAGACACACTCATCCATCCACGTATTGGGCAGCATTTGCTTCAAAGAGCTCAGAAGGTAGGCATTTGGTCGCGCCCTTATGGGTAGCCGTGTTGCTTTTTTCAGGTGACACACGGGAAGTGCCAAATCGCCTTGGTGGTTTGGATGGGTTTGGATGGGTTTGGATTGGTTTGGATTGGTCACTTGGGGTAACTTGGCATTTCTTTCTGGGGATCCTTCTGCTTGAATCGGATCTTTTCAGGGATCTTTCTAGGGACCCTTCTTTCGAGGGTGGCTGTGAAAAGCAACCAGCTACTTTTGGTATCCTCGAAGCTCCTAAACAACCCCAAAAACCACTCCGGGAGATGGTGCCCTTAACCCGAAACAAACACTCTCAAAGTGCAGAGGCCCTTGAGAGAGAAACAGAGATCCTGAAGTATTTCCTTTCTGAGGTGGAAACACAAACCCTCCAGCTCCACCCTAAGGCCCCAAAAGTATACTTTACAAAAGCATCGCATCTGGAGAATGCTCCCAAGAAAGCCATGCCTGCCGCAAGCGAGGACTAAACCCGAAGCACGGAACCCGATCGCTCTAAGCCAAGGTGCGGGATCGTTCCGGAGGAGAGTCGCGTGAGCTCCTGTGAACTTCAGAACTCACTTTCCAGATTCTTGAACTTGCAAGCAATGACTCATCGTATCAAAGGAACTGAACTTCTTGTGTTCGCTGTGCTGTGCCTAGCGAATGACACGCAGAGCGAAAGGGACACGCTAGGGTTTGTTTTCCCCCGTTGAAAGAATGGCCCAAGGGGACCCAATCTGGACGATGACAATCCTTAGGTAAACATCGAATATGAACCTAGCCATTGGTTTGGTGGCGGTTTGCATCCCAAAGCAAACAGATGCAAAACCAAAAAGGCGACAGGTAAAAACAGGTCAAATTGGGTTCAGGACGGAGCACACCCCCCAGTATCGATCCTTCCAATCCATGTGAGCAAAGGCAACTTGCTCTCCGCAGCCACCAAAAATGAGCAGAACCAAAACCAAGGCACGAAAAAATATATTCTTGATGGCACCCCACGTTTGGGGGGTTTAAAGGGATCCCAAAAGTCCCAAAAGCAACAACCACAAATTCGTTGGACCAGTAGAAGGTCCAGCCTTCACAAAACGACACACCCCATTTGCATTTTAACCCTCCCACCAGCTAACATGGAAGTGCAAAAGGACCCCTGTAGAAAGACTACGTCCCTCTTGGCCAGGCCCTTTCGGTGCTTATTTTTTTCCGGTGGCGCATGTACCCATCGAATAAGCCGCCGTCTCATCCCGTCTCCTTGGGCAACAAGGTGCCGTGCTTCAACTTCCGCAGGTCCGAGTCCTGCGACGTCGTTGGACGTCGGCCGAAACGACGCCGACAGCACCCGGAAGTCTCAGAAGCGCCCGGATAATTTTTCGGGCGGGCCACCACTACGATGGGAGCAACAAATCAACCAAAAATCCAGGGACCCGGCTTTGGATTCCCAGGGTCTGGGAATGTATTTCAAAGGACTGTTGAACAACGTTTGGTGGCTAGGTCCTCCAGTAGAGAGGTTAGAATAAGGCTACCAACTTTCTCTGTAGTCTATTTTGGGGGAATTTGTCCCCCAAACAAGTTGGTGAAAGGTTATTGGGGGATCTAGACTACAATGGGGCAACAAAAAAACTGGGGACCCCAGGGTTCAAAGATGTTCAAAGGACCATTTAACTCACGTCGTAACAAAGTGTCATTCAAATTGGGCCCCAAGTTGCCATCTTTTTATGGGGGCAAGGAAGCCTAGGGGACTGGCTGTGCTGCAACTGGCGTGGCAGGGGCTTCTTCAGCATACATGTTGCCCTACGGGCATCAGACACAGGCGCTTTGTGCCCATGAACCAAAGTGTTGGCAGGGCTTTGGGATAAAACAGCGTCGTTTTATGGACCAATCTCAAGGTGTGCTACCCAAAAACATTCGACCATGAGTCGGGTCGTCCCCCCTCCCGACCACGGAACCGCGATGATGGGACACATAGGATGACGTGTGAATGTGATTGGGGGAACGACTTTCTAACCAAACAAACGCACACATGGAAATTCAGGGGTACCTGGATTCCCCCATAAAAGTTTGCAATTTACAAATGATTGACCTTGAAGCTGCAACTTTCGGAGGTTCCGAAAGAAACGGAGGAACCCTGAGCAATCGAACATTTGCAGGGGGCTGAAGCAGCGCGCTCATCATCTTGAGAATGTTTGTCAGGATCCCATGGAGGCCCTTTAGTGTTGCCTTTACAACACGCCCAACAGGATACCTTACAAAAAAGGACATAACTAACCCATATTATCCCCTACAACAAACACCTACATGTTTTAGGTATAGTGTGAAACGGATTGTCCAGAATGAATCTCTCCCTTTGGTCAGGGGTTGACATCATCGCATGGAAGAAGTGGGCATCGAGTAGGCAACCACAGGGCAACCTTCCGAGTGACATATGGCCATGGGTCAAAACCCAAATCGGTTAGCCCCCAGTGAACATCAACGAATCCCCGCTAAAATGGACTAAAACGGGTGGTGCACCGAAAACCAAAATGGGATCCCAAAACGGTTTTGACAACCACAGCCATATGGCTCGAAGACGCGAGAAGCTGACTGAAGCAATCAGCTGAGCTGGACCCAGTCTTTCTGCTCACACCTTGCACAGGTGTCAACGACACCCAGTGGGTTTCCATCGGAAAGGGTTTGTCTTTGCAGCTCGATGAAGGGAACCTTCAGCCCATGGTCACCTCAAGGGTCGGCATTTCCAAATTGCACCTTCGACGTCTCGGAAGGCTGCGGGTTTCAGTGTGTCCCAAGGAATCGACCGGTAGAGCGGCACATGCGAGTCTCAATCGACAGGCCCAACAGTTCAAAGATGTTCAAGCATAGTCCTTTGGGTTGAAAATAGATTGATTCCTCTGGTAGATGATGAACCACGAATCGTCATCATGTTTTCCCACCACGACCAACAAGGACATCTTCACAACTTGAAAGGACGCAAATGTGCCCAAGCCAGAAATCGATTCGGTTCCGTGCCTTGATGTACTCCTCGATATCCTTCTTACTCAAAGAGTTCGCCTAGCGCTGGCAGCACGCCGAAAGCCGAAAGCCGAAGGCCGAAAGCCAAAGTTGAGCTGTTGTTCTTTGTCGGAGGTGGCACGGGTTTATTCAGCTAGGCCACTCATTGGTGGTCACTCATTGGTTTGGAGCCGAATCGGTTGTGGTGTTCTGGGGTGATTTCAACCATTTACCCAAGAACAACAACAGGGGTTCAACTCCGGGCTCCAAACCGGGCTCCAAACCAATCAGTGGGTTACCTGAGTTTCCTGATTGAAGGGGAAACCAATGTTGGCCCAATGGAAGGCCTCCAAAAGCTTGATGCCCCTTCCATATCGACAAAGCCCTGCAGTTAGGTGGTTCTACCAGATCTTCGTTCACAAGGCGCAAAAACATGTCCATCCAGAGTACCTGACAAAATGGCCTTTCCCTTCAAACAAACAACGAGAAATAAGAAACGACTTATAAGAGGAAGCCGCGCCAGGCCTTCAATTTGCTGACTTGCTCCTTGGGATGCCAACCAGCGCTTTTCGCCGGCACGCAAAAAAAACAACGGTCCTGCTGGACGTCCCGCAGCCCAACGCAGTGCATGAACATTCCACCATCAATTCCCCACCAACAAACCCGTTGCCCATGTTGTGACGACGCCAAAAACAGTTGTAACAGAAAAGCAGGGCCGTAAGGGTGTAAAACAGGGGTCACTGGATTTCCCCAAGTAAAAAGTTGAGCGTTGTCCATTGAAATCGTCAGTTTTGGAGGTTCCTTGTACAACCAAAGGTTACTTCAACTAATATGCCTCGGAAACCCCGTAAAACCACAGGACACCGATCAAATTCTCACTGGTCGGCCAAAAAGTCCCAAGTCTTCCACCCAAATGCTCCAAATCAAGGAGCTCGGGTCAGAGTAGAGTGAGTCACTCAAATGGCCAAAACCCCCGGATTCTTTGAACCTGACCCGAGAAGTTGGCTCAACTTTACGGAAATAGAAACAGTTAAAAGTGGACCTTTTAGGGGCCCCTGAACATGGGAATCCCAAAGGACCCTGCCAGGCCACCCTTGAAACAATGGTTGGGTTCATAGCAACAATTCTTTACCCAAAGAGTCATCACCTAAATTGCGCCCTTGCTACTCTTTCAACGGTGTTTTCTTCTTCAATCATAATCATATTTAAAAAAAAAAAAAAAAAAAAAAAAAAAAAACAGCACATTGGGGTGGGTCTTTCTTCCAAACCTGCGGGTCGGTTGACCCCTGGGACCACCCAACTCCTCTCAGATCCAGTCGCCTGCTGAGAGATCTCCTGTTTAGAGGCATCGCTCAGCTCGATGCCCCAGGCGCTGGGAGCGAGATTTCGGAGCGACGGCTGGGCGCGCTCCGCTTTCGTGCGGATCCCGGTGGAAATTCACATGCTTCATACCTGGGGTCTCCTTGTGACCGTTTAAAGATGGGTCCATGACACCACTTTAGGTCATGACCAAGCATTTTTTGAGGGTCATGGAGACTGTAGGTAGTCAAAAACTGGGGAGTCAAATACTACGTGCGCAAACCCTACGTAATGCAAAGCATTGTTGGAGGGATTTGTGGAGGGACTTGGGTGCTGCTACCTGAAAGATGTGCAGGGTTTGACAGGAATCTGGGGACGAATCGGACGAATCCCAACTTGAATTGTAGTCTGGGAGGTTTGGAGGCCAGGGGGAGGGGGTTTAGGTGTCAGGGTAGGTGTCAGGGTAAGTGCTTGTTTTCCAGAGGGGTTTGCCTTCTGGGCCCTTGGGAAACATAAAAAAGCGACCCCCGAGGGTGTAGGAACCTAATCCTTCCTGGTTTAGGACGCCAAGAAACGCGTTAAAAAGCTAAAACGTGAACTGTGAAGGATTTCAATCTATACTATACTGAGTATCTGGGATCTCGCTTGAGTGCACCAAGTCGGTACGCCTATCCCCGACCTGTTGATTCGCGAATTGCTTCCACTTTGGAGCCGAATCGGTTTGGTGGTGTTTTGGGGGGCAGTTCCGACCATTTACCCTCTAGCGGCAACCGGTTTTCACTTGGCCTCATGAGACAAATCCAAATAGGGTACCCACAGGCTCCTGGGGCTTTCAATGGAAGACACGACCCCTCCATTAGACACCCGGGAGTTGGTTGGCGGTCTCAAAACCAGGTTGTTTGAAGGCCCTAAATCAGTCGAATTGGAGCCTCCGCGTAATTTGAATTGATTCGCACTTCCTTCATGACTTGGACACCGAGATTGGCTCGCGGCCTTGCCACGAAATTCCTTTGGCATATGAGCAAAACACTGGCTGTTGTTTTGTTGCGGCCCATTAAACATGAACAGGACCAAACATACAAGAACACAACGCAACTGAACACATGCCAAGAGCAGCAGAGCGTCCTGAGGCCCTGGATTTCTAGACGCCTTACCATGTCCCCATGGACAAAATCCCGCTGCGATCGGTGGTTGCGGTGCGAAATGGATTCTGCCCACAGCAGAGACCTTCTGGTGGGTTCCATGAGGGTAACTCATCAGTCATACGCAGCTAGCAAGTTGGAATCTGAAACTTGGCAAGACATCCCATGCATTTGATGGTTGTTTTGATCCTGTGTCACGAGCCCCTCGACCAGAGAAGACCACATATTTCGACACAGGATCATGGCTGTGTCTCCGAAGGGAATCCAAGCAATCCACGAGCGAAATGGGATTAGAAGGGCTCCCTGCACCCCAACTTTCAAACTGCTCAGAACTATTTCTTCGATTTCTCACTGGGCAAGTTAGCCAATCTGGCCCATGCTTCTCCCCCGCTGGCCCCATACCCCTTCACAACTAATGGTTCCAAGGAGCAGGGCTTCCATGGGTGTCTGTTTGTTTGAGGTGCCCCATTCTTGTGATTTTTAGAGGGGAAACCAAAGGAACGCCGTAATTTTGAGGGTCCAACCTTCAAAACAACACACCCATATTTTCAATCAGAGCCGAAAGATTGACAACAGTCCCATGGGAAACAGCCGCGACAACTCTGCGCCTTAGGAAATTGAACTCCGTCATTGCATTGCGCAATGACGAGTAAGGCGCGCCTTCTCTGGCGATAAGGAGTGTATGTCTCAAGACCCATTGGACCCACGTGCACAGTCAGGCTTTAAATCTGCTTAACACAGCTCATGCTCCTTTCGGTGTGTCTCAGCATGGCTGCTTTGAAGATGTGGGATCAAGTCTGCATGAAATATCATGCGATTGAGCCAAAAGCTTCGCAACGCGCTCAACGGTCTTCCGTCTTTTTTGAGGGTCCCCTTCTTTTGTCTTCTCAAAGAGAAGCCAAAAGGACCAAGGCCATTTTTGGGCTCCTCTTCTCCCATGGACACCAGCACAACCACTTCACCCAAAGAAAACCAAAGCACCGGAACCCAAACTCTGTTGCCCAGTGGTGCCCGCTTTGTATGGTGGTTCTGATGCTATCCCTCACAACCCACATAGGGGTGTCGCAAAATAGTGGGGGGCACTTGTTGGATGCTTCGAGGCGAAAACCCAAGGGAACCCCCCCTTTTCAGCTCAACATTCAGTTGGGGCACAATGCAGCTTTGATGGGCACTCCAATGGAAAGAACCCGTAGCGACCCTTATTCGGGCCCTGAAGGAAGCAACACACCCGCAGGTAAAACTTGGGTCCAAACCACCAATCGAAGGGAAACCAGCAGGATGCTGTTTCAACAGTGGTGGCTTGCGCATACTATGGCCCAACCCTGACGGGCGATCCCAGTCGAACTCTCAAGAGTGCTTGAGGCTACCCGAAAAGCTCGTGTGTCTCAGGGGAACCAATGAGGAACACCAGAGCCATTTTGGGGGTGTTGGCACATACCGATGGTTTGGAGGCTAGGGCCTGGAGTGGTTTCCCGTTTACCTTCTGCAAGAAGCAAGGGTTCTCCCCAAGCCAAAGGGCTCCAAACCACCAACCTGTTTATGAAAATATGGGGGTGGGGGCCCCTCCATGGTCTGAATCCCCACTAAAACCAGGGACACCCATATTAATAAACAGGGGTTTATTAATCCAGGGTCAACATTACTTGAATCCTGTTGGTTTCCCTTCGCTCTACTCAAATAGCAAGGGCCCCAAAGGCTACCTCGGCTGGCAAACCAATTGACCTGAGCTAGGCCAAAAAAAGCTGATCATCACTCACGTGTTCGGCCTTAACAAGTTGTATGTTCCCCAACTCAATGGGAAAACTATACGCTTCATATCTGGACAAAACCCATTTCGCACGAGACATGGAACCCCCCTGAATTGTTGCATGTTCCCCAAATGGTGTTTTTTTGCTTCTCACAACGAAATCCATGTCGCACCGGAGATGCACCCCCGCATGAATTGTTGAAACACCCGCGATGGTGCCTAGAAGCCTAGAAGCCCAGAAGCCCAGGCCCAAGACCCGTGGCCATGGGTTAAAATCCAAATCGGTTAGCCCCCAGTGAACATCAACCAATCCAACCACTAAAATAGGAAGCCTAAAATGGGTGGTGAATTCACCCAATCCAACCAAAATGGGATCCCATGTTTTTCTTGGTGCACCTACCAACCAAAATGGGATCCGCCACATCCCTAGCCCAGGCCGACCAAGACCTCATTCGAGGGCTCCTAGGGGGCTGCACCTCTTCAAGGGGCGCCTAGGGCATCTCCATTTGTTTTTTCGTCCCCTGGAAAAAAAAACAAAACATATTTCCAGTAGTGATAAATCGATTCTCTTTGAAACCAACAGGGAAAAAACTTAACCAAATGGAAGGCCATGAAATTCATCTTCGGCTTCGCTTCGGATGTCCTTGTACGCCCAGGTCGGCACACCTTGCACCGTGTCGTCCGTGACACCCTGCGGTCAGACTCGCGTGAAGGGGCAGGACAAAAGGATTCCCTACGGATGGTCTGCCAAGAATCAAGCCTGGTATAGTAATGTGGACCCAAGACGAATAAGATTAATACCCTATTTGCAAAATATGGGGGGTGTTAACTTGGTTTTAGTGCGGAATCTAACCACTTTAGTTACCTTTTGGCCAGTACTTGGAATTTTTGGATATGGCAAAAATAAATTGCTGCGGGGTGCTAGTTTTGAGTAGTTGATTTCAATGGTGAGCCCACCCCCTCCAAACTCCAAAGAAAAAACTGAAAAATAGAGAAGCCACCCACTGAGGAACCAGCCAACAAAGGCTGTCCGAAAGAAACAAACCGACAGACTCCATCAACTAGAGGACACCGAAAACGCCAGGGTGCCGGAGGTTCTGGTCTTGATTGGCCACTCGGCTGGTTGATTGAGAGAAACCCTCCTCTAAAAAGAAGTTGAACAAACCCTAGAAGTTGAAAGGGGGTGTTTCTCAACCGATTTCTGGTTTATTTTTGGCTCGGAAAGCCATCCACAAAAATGGGGCAACCCGATTTTGAGGAACACCCGCAACTGGAGCCCCGCACCTTCTGCCGTATCGCAAGCTTGGACCTCGAGCGCGCAACTGGTCGAACTGTTCTGTCTTTACATGCTTGCGCGTGTAATTTTAAGGGTCGAAGGAGAAGCACATTGAACGTTTAAAGGACCAAACACATGACACCACCCGGTTGTTTTTCTGCCCGGGTGTGTGTGTGTGTGTGTCAGCAACCTGGGTGCGTTGCACAAAAACAAAACAAACGTGCGAGCTCAAAGAAGCCGACAGCCAGGTAGCAGCCAACTGGCTGCGTTGCACAAAGACCTTTGGGTGTGGTTTCTTTGTTTGACACTCGGTGCCCATTTTGGTACGGTTGCAAAGGGAATCAAAGAACATGTCCATCAATCATTTTGGTGTCTCCCTATGTGTGTTCTTTTTGAGGGTACTCTGTTGGGTCGTTCAAAAAAGCAGCAATAGTCAAATCGGGTGTTTTACAATGATCATAGCTAATCAAGTTTCAAGCTGTGTTGGCGAAACACGCAAAACAATCAGAACACGTGCCCCCCCATCCCCAAAGGCAAAAACAAAACAAAAAAATACACCCCACTCTGTTGGGATGCTCAAAAAAGCAGCAACCCCTCCCAAAAAAAAACAACAGAAAACAATCCACCTATGTGTGTTCCTGTTGAGGGTACTCTGGTGGGCCGCCCCCAAAAGGCAAACCTTCAAAACAAACAAATACACCCCTTTTAACTCCTCCGACGTCGCGGCGCGTTTTTCACAGATCGCGACGAGCGGCTTCTGCATGAAGATCCGCTCGTCCTCGATGAGGCGCATGTTCTCGGAAGGCATCTCCCAGAGCGCCTCGAGCCGACTGCCCCGAGCGGATACGAGTCCTAGGTGCTTGGGCGCTGTAGATCCCCCAGCAAAAAGTTGAACTTGTTGCTGGTTGATTAAAAAGGAAATATGGGGGGAATGCAAAGAGTTAAAGTCTAAAGATCCAACCCAATAGCAGTAGAGGGTGGATCGATGAACCTGTCGATCCATTCATTGCTAGGGACGTAACCCGAGAAAGGGGAAAAAAAGGGAGGGGGTGAAAATCATTCTGCTGGCATTGCCTGAAATGGTTTAGCCCTTGGCTAGTTTTTAAAGGTGGGATGCAAAATGATGCCACAGATTTTGCAACTTGGAGGGTTCAGGCGGTCGGGGGGTTGCAAGTTGTCACGTGCGACTGGACCCAACATGAAAGCCAAAAAGGCTAAAAGCTCGAGTTCGCTGTGCCTCGAAATGAAGGAATCCCAAATGGGCTGGGGTCCCCGTTCAATTCCGACTCAATCAACCCCGATTAGGGTTCCTTCCGCATCAAAAACCAGTTGGAACCACGTCCAAATTTGGTCCAAGCACTGGACACATTTGGTCTCGGGGCTTTTGAGGTCCATTCAAGTAAGCCATGACCATGAAGCAGATAGGCACTCACTGAACTTGAGGCACTCACGAATGTTTCCCCCCTTCAATGTCATAGTCTAGTTGAGTCCTGAATGGGGCGTTCTCTATGGCAGAAGGAAATCTAAGGAACCCTCAGGCATCCTCGCCTCTCAACTACCCACCCCTTGTACCTAGCACCTTCTGGGATTTTATAAAATCTATGCACAATTTGAGATGGATGGGACTCACTCAAGATCCCCCCCCCCCCCCGCCGCGCCTCTCCATGCTGCAGCTCACCTTGGTCAAGCTTCAAGCCTGTACTTACTGTGGAGAAGCAAAGTCCGCTTCTCGCACCTAAGAAACCGTGGTTGACAAGTTGAAACAATTGTTACTAGGTCCTCCAGAAGAGAGCTTAGAACAAGGGTGCCCATTTTCTGTAGTCGATTTTAGTAGGGGAACCCTCCCCCCAAAAAAAATGGTAAAAGGACACTACTGGGGGACCTAGGTTTGTTGGCATTTACAGGCAAACCAGGCTTTCTTAGGTGGTGCGTAGCATGGATGTTGTCCACCCGCAGAAGGACTTCAATCTTCTCTATACCCTCATTCGAGTCACAATCAAGCCGTATTAACCAACGGGTACTAAAAAAGATCTAAAAGGCGCTGCACCTATATATCGTTGAGAGTAATTATCCCGTACTAACTTCCATCTACCTGGGTTTTGAGTGTGACTCATTTGATTCAAGGAAGGGTAAGGATGGATATACCTGAACCCTTCAACTACAATATCAACATGGGATATTCTGCCAAAATTCGGGGGTGAGGGGTGCCTTCTCAAGGCTAGTTTGAGGGTGCAGGTAAGGCAGACTTGCCACTAAACACCACCCAGGCAAAACCCTCTTAACATGAATGATTCAAACCACCCACAGGAGAACTACAGCTGCAACCCCTCAAACTCTGAAAAAAAAAACTATGGTTTGTGTCAATGGAACCCCCTAGAATTTATTTGGTTGGTGTTCGACTAACCAAGCAAAACAGCTACTCCCAAGAAACAGAAACACATATGGGTGTGCTTTTGTTAGCGACGCCCCACCCCCCAAAAAACAGCAACAAACGAGCGAGCGAGCAAGCAAGCATGAAAGAAAGCAAGCAAGACCGAAACAAACAACAAAGACAAGTAGTGTTCCTGCTGGTTTCCCATTAGCCCCCCCCCGGCCAAACAAAACCGGAACCCTGGTGACAATGTCCCCAGACTTGGCCCAGGCACTGGGCAGCTTCGC